TCATAGTAAGTTTTTATACATTAATATGACATTTTGTATATATTTATATTATAAAGAAATAAGTTAGAACTTAAAATTACAAGCAGGTTAGTTTTACGTATACATTACTTTGTTGAAAAATTTTACAAACATTTACGAAACGAATGTTGAAACAATGAGAAATAAAACTTACACTTACATCTATTTGAGGGAGAGGGGAGGATTGTATGAAGAGGCTGGAGGGAAAGAGGAGAGGGGGGGGCGAAGGGGGGCTTGAAGGAGGGAGGTAGAAAGGAAGGAAGGAGCGAAAGAGTGGAAATGGAAGTCGAAGGCGGAGGTGGCGAGCGGAAGTAGAGGCGTAGGGGAGAATTAAGGAGCGAAAGCGTGTAGGTTAAGATTAGCATAAGAGTAGGATAAGAGAGAGGGAGACTGGCGGAGGCGAGCGAGCGGAAAGAGAGAAAGGGGAGAAAAGCGAGCGGAGGGGTAGAATAAGAGTCAGAATCAAGTTAAGTTAAGGAAGTGTTGTAAAGTAAGGAGGGAGTTCATGTAACCCTAAGGGGAAGTCAATAAAGCTATACATACATACATACATACATACATACATACATACATACATCTATTTTTCATTTTTAGTTTTTCCTTTTCATTCTCCTAATAAGAAAATTATGTTAACATTGCTTTTAGCAAATTAACACGCCCTTCGACTTGGGGAGGAAACCTCGGGCACCCTCGTTCAGGGTGACCGGGGACTTTTCTTCCACCACGTTCGTGTGTGAGGGAGGAGTTTTCCGCCCAAACGGGGCATGAAAATGGGTCCTCATCAAGTCAATCGATCGAACCGAAAGTCAACACGAAAATTGGTTGACACTCCCAAAATCACGTATCGGAAGGGGTTCGAGTTAAGGAGGAAACTGGCTCCAGAAACATTCTCACGCATCCGTTTGGTTGTCCTGGTGGCAGGGGAGGTGAACCCCTACGTGGCGCGTCCCCAGGTGGCGGATAGGGGCAGCCGCGGGGATGAGGTCATCAACCTGAGATGGCTGGTAGTCGTATCCTCCTATGGCATCCCTGAGGTTGGAGCGAAAGCTCGCGCGATCCAAATACCGGTATGAATGGATTGCGTGTGAATGTTTGTATGAGTAGACTGGGGCATGGGATTTTAATGTGGGGAAATCCTCATGGACACCGCGAGGCCTTTAAATAGGGAAGTGCCTAGAGGTAGCGCCTGACTCATATCGGCTAAAACCCCACGCTAACCGTCCTTCGACGCTGTGGTGGGGGACCGGGAACTCTAATCAGGCGTCGCAGAGTACCCCGCTGCGGACGCCAGGTCACCCGATGCCCGCGGCCCTGGGGTTGCCTTCAGTGCTCGGGCCCCTTGCACCGAGCACCTGCAGCCCCTAGGGACGACCGACGTGGTAGCCGGAGATGAAAGCTAACGGGCCGCCTCACCTCTTGGAGGTCCCTCAGGACCTCAAGGATATTGGAGGGGGCCAGGAGGCGAAGGTCTCCTCGCTCTAGCCCCTCTCTAAGCCCTCCCTCGCGTAGCGCGAGCCACACATCCCGCTCGGCGGCCTCCTTCTGTGGCATAACTACCTCGCAGAAGGAGGCCACCACTTGCCATGTTCTCTCGCTGGCCACCATCTTGCCAACTACTGTGGCCAGCGAGAGGTTCCTTCCTGCTCCAGGACACGGCGCTCATCTGCCCACGTTGGGCAGGCTCCCAGCGTGCGCTGCGTCGTGATTTAAGGGTCTCCACAATGGTGGCACATCGTTGTCGCCTCCTTCCCGATTCGACACAGGTACTCACCAAAGCAACCATGTCCGGTGAGCACCTTTGTCATCCTGTAGGGCAGCCTACCCGGTTTGTCCTGTCACTCTTGCCAATGTGGCAGGACTGCACCAACGGACCGTTGTGTGGCTCCACCAACTTGAATGAGTGTTAACCAAAACGGTCCGTTGGGCACGGCGCGTCGTCGCTTCGACCGCTTGCTTCCTCACCTCTGCCGGTATTCGGGCCTCCCGGAGCTCCATGGAGTGCCGGAAAACCAACTGGTTTCTCCATGCTATGAGCTCCATGGCGGAAGACACACCAGGGTAGTCGCCGACTCGTGGGAGATGGTGTGATACCCTCTAACAATCCGGATGGCTAACCGACGGTTGACGCGGCGCAACATCTCCATGCTGCATCGGCTGGCCTCCAGGTCCAGGCGCCAAACAGAGACCCCGTAGAGGGCAACTGACCGCACCACCTCCACGTAGAGGCGGCGGACTCCAACATGGGGCATGGGATATTTGCTGTGGGTTTTACCTAAGGCCGCAGGTTGGCCAGTTGATTGCGGGTGATTCCTGCAGCCAACGTAGTCACGCGGCCGGCGGCTTCGGGCGGGCCCGCGGGTGTCCATGAGGATTTCCCCATGTACAAAAAAAAAGGGCTCCAGAAATATCGAACACAATTCGTACAACAGTTAAATCTAACGCATCATAGAAAAAACGAGCTTGCGGCAAATCGTGGCAAAACGTGACATAACGCTATAACTAGTCACTCAATATTAGCTTGGCGAGTGACGGCTAGAAGATACGCGTACCTTTCTTTTTTGTACGTGGGAAAATCCTTATGCACACCCGCAGGAGGGTCGGCGGGCAGTGCCGGACTCTTACCGGCTAAAACCCCACGGTGACCATCCTCAGACGCCTGGCGAGGGACGGGGAACTCTAGTGTGCCATCACAGAATCCCCCGCCGCGCCATGCCTTTTCAGGCCTCTCCCGGTAAGAGGCACACCTCCCACCGCATTCCCACTCAACCGCAAACGCCTGGTCACCAGCACCCGCGGCCCCGTGACATGGGACTAAGCCGCCGGCTGCGGGGCCATGTTGGCCGCAGGACTGACCCGCGGCCAACTAGCCTTAGGTAACACCCGCGGCAAATATCCCATGCCCACTCACACATACATTCACACCCGCAACACATTCATACCGGTCTTTGGTCCGCGGGAGCTTTCGCTCCGACCTCCGGGATGCCATGCGAGGATGCGGCCCTCAGTCTTCTCAGGTTGATGACCTCATCCCCGCATCCCATCCCAGCGGCTGCCCTCATCCGCCACCTGGGGACGCGCCACGTAGGGGTTCACCTCCCCCTTTTTTTTTTCTACGTGGGGAAATCCTCATGGACACCCCAAGGCCCCTAAATAGCTCGGGGTAGTGTCGGACTCTTACCAGCTAAAATCCCACGGTGACCGTCCTCCGGCGTTGCGGCGGGGGACCGGGAACTCTACTGAGACATCACAGAGTCCCCGGCCCCGCCATGCCTGTCGAGGCTCATCCCGGGGAAGGACGAACGTGTCCCTCCCTCCCTGATTTTTCCGCCGCGGATGCCAGGTCACCCAATGCCCGTGGCCCCGGGGCTGCCTTCGGTGCTCGGGCCAGAGGTTCACCTCCCTTGCCGTCTGGACAACCAAACGGGTTGCGTGGAAAAGATACGTGTACTACGCTGATGTCAACCTCATAGTTGACCATCGATGACCATAAGCTGACCATTGAGTACCCAACGATCAATTAAACCCATCGCGAAGCCGACGACTAAAGCCTTTTTATAAGACTGCTGGTCAAAGCAGTCTCACATGTGCCTCCTTTAAGATGACGAAGAGAGAAAAAATTAATATTTAGGTAAACTCATAGGCCCTTTCATTGTTCATATTGTTAAGAATTGTGTTTAATTCTATTCCCTGACATAAATGAATCAAGATAGTGGCGATTTACCGACAAAGTAATTTCTTTTTACTTGTTCTCTCGTGTCTCACTCTGGGCATTGTTTGTTTAGAGCATATACGAGGTACATATGTTCGTATACCGAGTCTGTGTTTGTAGGAAGCATATGACTGGATGAATAGTTGATTTTAATAGTCTCCTACCAATATTGAATGTATTTTATTGAAATTTATTTTTGTAGTAGAGCTCATGGATAACTAAAAAAAAGTATTAAACAACATTTCCGTAGAATGTCAAACAAATTAATCGATTGATGCTCAATTCTGGACTGTACAGCTTTCATTCCGTTAAAAAATAATAAAATTTTTGTTATTTCATTTTCTGTCTCACTTTCTCTTGTGCTCATTTCTAAATCCGTTGGTAACGTTGCGAGTGACACAAAAATGGTAATGGAGTTTCGAGACCCCAAAAAATAGGCCGAAAAAGTACATTGGGTGAAAAGTCTGTCTACTCGTATAAGTCGACTGTGGTACTACGTGTCGTATGAATGAAAGCCTTCGTGAAACCGCGTTTTTCAAAGATTCGTCACTAGAAATTTTCTAGTTATTTTCATATCTTACTTTTTTTTTTTATTTTCCTCTTGCTCTTCTTTGACAGCTTTTTTACATAGTCCGTCAAAAACTGTCTTCGACGCGATGTGAATATACATATGTCTTGCACAATAGCACTGTATAAATTTTTGCTGATACCTTGTCCCATATTCATGAAACCTGATTCTTCAAAAGCTACTTTTTGTTTCCAATTTTTAGATATAATGTAATTAGAAATACTACCAAAAGTAGTTAAAAATTCAATCATACAATAGTATGTAATGAGTTGGCGATAGTTTAACATCTACACTGTCCACAGAACTCAACTTTCTTTCACTCGCACTTGGTTCATAATTGTTTTCTACGCTAAATCTGTTGCTGTAATATTTTCTTTTTCACGATCTGGAATCACGATGCGTATCTACTTTTCTACTCTTTCGAAACGTTTTTACGTTTTATACTGGTTGCAATTCGGACGATTTCGCTCGAATGCTCAGCTTTGTGAATATTGTGAATATAAACAGTGAATATTGTGATACTGACAATAATCATTTACAGAAAAGAATTACATTTACGACTTTAATAAAAATTAAACATTTCTATATTGATTGTTCAAATATTTAATACTTCCATTTTGTTAAATTCACCTGCATATAGCATTAGTACACGAATAATTTTTAGAGTATTCTTTTCTTTATTTGTATTATAATAATTTTTTATTTTTCTAAAATTGGAGAACAATAAAATTAATTCATCGAACATAATTAGAAATATCGTAAAGTACAAATCTCACGTCCTGTCAGTTAGGTTAGGTCTTATACAGGTTAGGTTAAGTTCGTGTTTCCCATGTGGACTTGTTTTTAACAAACTTTGTCGTCATGACAGAACCATTACCGTTACCGCAAAAAAAATACTACAGACAACGCGCACATTCAAATCCCATAGCAGATCACTGCATAGAATAGTATGTAATTGTCTCTTGTAAAACAAATAAACACTTGTATGAAAAATCATTATGAAATTGCGTTATTAACTTTACACGTTCTTAGACTATAATTTTGTTTAAATTTAAAAATTATCGCGTCTTTTCCATAAATGAAATTTCTTTTCAGCCCTGTAAAACCTGACTTTATGAACTGGAGTTCGTTATATCCATTGTATTTTTCAAACACTGAAGTAAAATCCGAAGAAAACGATTCGCAGCAAAAATGTGTGGAGTTTGCAGACATTGGATGTGGTTACGGAGGACTACTGGGTACATTCATTTTAGCTTTAAGCATCATACTTTGACATATAATAATAATAAAATTCATTTGATAGTTACACTGTCGCCAATGTTCCCCAATAATCTCATTCTCGGTATGGAGATTAGAGTAAAAGTTTCTGACTATGTCACGGATCGTATACTTGCACTACGATCGCAGTACCCTGGACAATATCAGAACATTGCGTGCCTAAGGACCAATGCAATGAAATATTTGCCAAATTACTTTCGCAAAGGGCAGGTACAAGCAAAGTGTAATCTTATTTTTATAACGCTAATTTTAAATCCATTTCGATTATTAATATTATATGTATTTTTCCAGTTGAAGAAAATGTTTTTTTTATACCCGGATCCACATTTCAAAAAGTCAAAACACAAATGGAGAATTATAAACAGAACGCTGCTAGCAGAATATGCCTATGTATTAGCTGAAGGAGTAATATCAATTATAGTTTCTTATTTTAATATTTTTCTTATATATAGATAAGTAATTATAAGTATCATTTAAAGGCTATTATATACACAGTGACAGATGTGAAAGATCTACATGAATGGATAGTGCAGCATTTTCATGAGCATCCTTTGTTTGATGATATTCCCAAGGAAGAATTGGTAAGTCTTTCAAATTATTCATTTCAAAAAAAGAGTGACAGAAAAATATATTATTATTAATACTAGTATTGCAATATTATTAAAGTGTATAATAAAGTCATTTTTTACAAAGGATGTAGACCCTATTGTGGAAAAACTGTATGAGAGTACAGAAGAAGGACAAAAAGTAACAAGGAATAAAGGGGACAAGTTTTTAGCTGTATTTAAACGAATTCCAGATCCATATAACAAAGAAACTAGTTAATATTGACTACTTACAACAGTATGTGTATATAAATAGAATTATTTTCCATAATCAATTTACAAAAGATACTTTAGATGTTGCTTTCATGTAATTTATTTCTTCCTTGTCGAACAAATTATTACCTACAAAATACATGCCTGCATGAACTATTTTTCTTAAATACCATTTAATAAAGAACTTTCTTTCAAACAATTGAAATTAAATATTCTTACCTTGTTTAATATGGACTTTGTTTAATTTAGTTTTAAGGTAATTAACATGCCTTATGTCTTCTTTAGGAATTAAATGTACTGTTTCTAAAGAGAATTCTTCGTGTACTATGATATATAATATCTGAAAAAATATAATTGTAAGATATACAATGTTGTTTTGTGAATAATTAATCTAACAGATTGAACTTATTATTTTTACTTCTTCTAATATAGAGTTAATAAATGTCAGTGGCGGTGATACATAAGATCTCTGTATTAATTTCTTTCGCTCGAAAAGATCCATTGTGAATTGTGAATAATACAAATTTCTTCCAGGTATTAAACTTTCTTCAACAGTTTTCATAAATTTTTTACTATTAAGAATATCCCTATAAAATATAAATTTCAATATTTTGTTATAAAATGACGTTCTACCATGCTGCGTCTTAAAAAAATTGATTATGTTTAATTATTATAACTGATGATCATTACAATCATTGTCAAAGAAAACATAAAAAAAATGTTTTTACCATAATAATCCTTCCAAAATAAATGCGACCACAGAAACTTCATTTTCTTCCATTTTAACGTTACAATCGCTATTTTTGTCAAAGGGAATTGCATGTGACGGAGCAGCTTTTAATTCCTCCACTAAATTGATTCTTAAACATTCATCTTCTACAGAATATATGGAGCAACGAAAACTCAATGGTTTACAAAATATTTCTGGTTTGTCTAGTATTTTTAACCATGGTTCCTATATAAAAATGAAATCTTAGACATTTATAAAATCACTTAATTCTATTACTATAAGATATATCACTTACTGGCACACTAGTGCCTCTTTCCGTAATAGTAAATTGTCCTTCCAATTCTTTTTTAAGAATATCATATTTGATGATACTTCTTTGATAGTTGCGTCTTTCACCGACATTAAAGAATTCACAAGGTATATTGAGATCGACTCTGCACGGTTCTCCTTTAGTAAAAATTGTCACCTTGAAACTCTGTACTGCATTTGGGCATATTATACCTTTGCTAGGGAATACTTCAATTTGAAGTATCTCTGGTACTTCTTGGCTGAAAGCGTTCGACGAATTAAACAAATTTTAATTAGCACGAAAATCGAAAAACCAAGATTAAGGTATCAAAGAAGTATTAGTAATTAAGATTTTAAAGAAGTACCACTTCCATTTGTAAGCTAACGCGTCGTATGGTAGATTGTTATATACTATAAGCATCTTCACGATAATATTATACGTAGGTATAGACCACATATCGATGCAATCTGTGCTGAAGTATAGAGGGAACCCTTCGCTTTTACAGGCACAATAAATTGGTATCGGATTCCCAATTATTGTCGATCTAAAGTCGTAGGATGTTTCTCCTTCTAATGTTAATTCCATTGTTTTATTGCCTAATATTATTGGCAATGCCACCTCGTAAAACGTAATATTTTATTAGGGCAAACTGAAGATGGTAGTAACACGTTAAATATTTTAAACTCTATGATAGATAGTAACATAAATTTTGGATATACACATAGTGTAAAATGACATTTGAAACTGCCCATTGAGGAAGTGCTGGACCAAAGGAAGAAGGACGGGTGGAAGAAGTTTAGGGAGGAGATGGAAAAGACAGGGAGTATTTTAGGACGTTTTGGGTCAGTGGTAAGAGGGAGAGGTTTAAGCCGTGGTTTGAAAAAGTAAGGGGGGTGAGTAGAGATGTGATTAGGTTTGTCTCCAGGCTAAGGGCAAATCACTATAATCTAAGGGGGTCATTGGCAAGGAAAGGGATGATTAGAGATGGAGAGTGTGAGTGTGGGCCGGAGGAAGGGAATGTGGAGCATGTAATGTTACAGTGTGGGTTGTATAACCTGGAAAGAGAGGAGATGCGAGGGAGGTTGAGGAAGGAGATAGAGAAGGTAGGGGAAGACGTGGTAGGGTTACTGGCGATGAATAGGACCAAAGTATATAGGGTAATGAAGGTTTTTTGTGACAGGATAGGGAAGGATTTGTAAAGAAAGAAAGAAGGTGGATGCTGGGGTATGCAGGGAAGTCAGGAGGGAGAGGAGGATTGTTCCTAGTGGGGTAAAGATTATTAATAATTAAGATTAGAGGTTAAATTGGAGTATTGTATGTTTAGTTGTATTTTCAATATTATTATTTTTAGTTTTTTGTGTGTTTTATCTAGGTAGTTTTAATTGTATTGTTAGTTGTAAACGATCACTGGAAGCGAGGTTGGGGTTTCGGGAGAGTGAAGAAGGGCAAAGGAGAAGACGAGGAGGAGGAGGAGGGGTTAAGAGAGTAGGAAGGAGGTGAATAATTTAAGTAAGGGACAGGGTACAGGTGACAATAGGAAATAGCGGATTTAGAAAGTAGATGAGAAATGGTGTTATTACAAAGCCGATAGTGCTGGTATCGCACCCAAAAATATAGGAAGGAAAGAAAGACATTTGAAACACAAACATCTATCACGGCTGTGTAGATACTATAGAGGTGTTCGAGTACTGCTTTTTTTAAAAATTTCGACACAAATAGAATAATAGAAAAAACAACAGTATTTTTTCGAATACAAAATTGAATATAAAAAATTGATCAATACCTTGTATACTCCAGACATCCTAGGTTGGAATGTTAAAAGAAGGGGTTTGGCTGCGTGAGCTTTCACGATACCATTTTGAGTCAAACAAGAAAATACTTCGCAATTATAAGCTTCGTTCAGTTTACAAATATTATCGACATTTATGGTACATGGCAAATCGTAATTCGTAACGTTGCATATCCAATATGTCTAGAAATTCGTGTATTTTTGTATTCCAATGCTAGAAAGACGAATGGAACCGAAATCTCACTTTATGAATTGCTTCTCTGTTCCCGAAGTAAATTCGTCCGAATTTTAAGCAAGTGGAACTTAGGAAATCGAATTGTTGCTCAGACTTGGACAAACAGTCGATTAACACATTTAAAATAACGTGACGATCGTGTCCTATATCTAAATCCCAGGATATCTCTGATTTTCCGATCAAGGTATATCGTACTTCCATAGTAATTATGACTTGTTCGTTTGGCTAAAAAAAATTTATTCTATTTGAAATTTAAATTATAAATTTTGGTAAACCTTACGTTTATGGGAGGCAGCTCCGATGACCTTGATTTTGACATATGTTGTCAAGGTCAACCTCCTGAGTAACATCCAAGAGGTTTTAGCCGTCGCTCGTTTTTTATTAAAAAGTTATTAGCATATAAAAATCATATAATATTCATTATATTATATAACATATTTATTTAAATAAAACGATCTATTAAATTATGTTCTACTAAAAATGGGTTAGGTCTGGGTTAGTGTAGTTTTTTTTTTTTATGTGGCCTCCTGCGAGCGGGTCGAGCACCCCGCTTAAAGAGGGTGGCCTCGGGTGCCCAGAGTGAGGCGACCTTCGCCTCCTGGCCCCCTCCCGTAGCCTTGAGGTCCATGTCTCTCCCACCTTCTTCCTTCCTTATTCCTTCCCCTCCCCCCTCCCTATTCTTGGTGGACCTCAAAGATGTGGGGCGACCCGTCAGCGCTCTCCTCCGGCCACAACATCGGTGGTTGCAGGTGTCCGCGGCGGAGATATCAGAGAACACGTTCGTCCTTCCCCCGGGATGAGCCTCGACAGGTATGGCGTGGCGGGGCACTCTGTCACAGAGTTTCTGTGATGCCTCAGTAGAGGTCCCGGTCCCCCGCCGCAACGTCGGAAGACAGTCACCGTGGGGTTTTAGCCGGTAAGAGTCCGGCACTGCCCCGAGGCCTATTTAGGGGCCTCGAGGTGTCCATGAGGATTTCCCCACCTACAAAAAAAAAAGAAAAAAGTGTAGTTTTTTTTTGGTGGGTGAGGTCTTTTAATTTAATATGATACTGTTCAACTCGTGGGGATGTTTTATTTTATGCTCCGCAGGGCTCATAGAACGAAATCCCATATTCTTGTTTTTTGTTTCCGGTAATTTTTATATACTAATGACTTTTTAATAAAAAACGAGGGATAGCTATATCTTTTTGAGGGATGCTCAAGAGTGTGACCTTCACAAACTGTGTGAAAGTCAAGGTCACATTGAGTATACGTATACGCAGATTCTAGTGTAATACTAATAACATTTTTATTAATAACTTTTTAATAAAAAACGAGCGACGGCTAAAACCTTCTGAGGGTCATTCAGGGCTTGACGACATACTTCAAGGTCAAGGTCATCGCAGCTGTCTCCCCTAAACGTAAGGTTTACCTACATATTTCATATTTTAATTAATTTAATAATATAAAAATGGTTAATATTAATGGCACAAGATTCGTACTTCCAACGTGCCCGATTCTGGGCGCAAGGTGCAAAGAGTCCGGTGAGCGCAATCAAGCTTTTCCGTCTGAAACGATAAATCTATCTTCTTCACCGTACGTTTACAATCGCATCGATGGATCCATTTAAACATCCATGAAATAGGCAATTTAGAAATATTCGTCATGACTAATTTTATAAATACAGCTCCTTCGTTTATAATCATTGGAAATAATGCTGTAGACAGTGTCTTCTTTCCTCCTGGCGATATAGTTTTTAGAATTTCGTTTAATCTATTTAAAAAAAAAATTAATAATCATACATTTAATAAACTTAATTATGATGCAGAAATTAACAATGTGAAATTATCATACTCGTTTATTTGCATCGATTTCCATAAAAAAGGTTTGCTTATATTCAACGAATATTTTTGATTGCATCCGAATGCGCACACGTTGCTTACCTAATATGCATGAAAATTATATTAAAATCATGTGTACAGTATTTTTGACGTAAGGTCTCGCAACGTGGGGACCTGTCGCGAGCATTTAGTTGCTAGGTATCGTCCTTTCACGAGAAGAAGGCACAGCGTGTTCACATCCCCACTCTTGTTGCAGTCTGCTGATTGGTTGTCATTGATCTTCGTCACCGTTTTCGACCAATACCTGTGAGTCAGCGGACTGCAACAGGAGTGGGTATGCAAACACATTGTGCCTTCTTTTCGTGGAAGAATGGTACACGAAACTCGAGCCTTGTTTAATCTTCGAGAAGGATAGCGAGCGAAAAACAAAGAGGGAATGAAAGCCCGAGCATTCGAAGAAATTTAAATGTCCGTGTATCAATGTACTAATGCAATGCAAAGTTAAAACTTTTTTATTTTTACATTTATCCATAAGGAAATTCATTTAACATATTAGTAACATTTTTCTGGTTAAAATGGGACCAAACATGATGAAAGGACCATTTTTACTTAACGTTTGTCGGATAGTTGTTCCGACAAATTACAAAAATGGATTTGTGGCGTTGCATCGCTGCGGGTAAGATCTCGGAGAAATTATCGTAGGAGGACAGAAAAGGAAAGCTAGAGGGGACTCGTCAGTAAGGCTTTCTAGCAGGCCCTGCCTTAGATGACTGGGATGTTGGGAAATTGTATAGCACGAGCTCTCTGGTGGCGAGCATGGGAGGCGACGCCACAGATTGTTTCTAGAAGAGTATGTATGTCGTGCTTGGTCTCATTTTAATCAGAAAAATTTGACCAATATGTAAAAACAAAATTCATTACAAAAAAAGAGATAAATAAAAAAGTTTAAATCTTGCATTATTGCATCGATACCTTGTAACGACGATTTAAAATTGTCGAATCTCATTAAAGGCGAGCTGGACTCGCTTCACTGGATCCATGCAAGATAGCCCTTCAACGGGAAAGGGTGAACGCTGAACGTTTATCTGCAAGAAGGTTCGAGCATTCAGTGTAGACTCGCACCTTCCCCCATTTCTCACTATTCCTCGTGATATGCCCTATCAGGGTGGTCGGATGGGTTTCCCCATTCAGTTTCATACAATCTCACCGTGTGACGGTTTGCACAATATTTATTTTTGGCGTTTGTCAGAGAATCTTTTAATTTTGATTGCAAGCTATTCGAACGATAGAAAACGCATTTCCAAATTGATATTTGCAAAGCCTAATGATTATGATACCTGTCCAAAATTGACCATTGTTGGATTCCGGTAGAATTGACAACATTTTATTTTCTTAAGAAACTCGTACAACTTGTATTAGGTCGACTAAGTACTAGACTCTTTCTGACGATTCTTCAATATTGCAAGCTTTTATATACTCTTGCTGGAGATAGGTAGAAGTAGGGACGATGGTCAAGAGACAGTGTGACTCAGGAAGGGTGCGAGGTTCAGGATGAGTAAGGATTAGAAATCGTGATTAGGATGTTTGGATAAGTAATGTTTATGATGTGACTGAGTGGTGTTTGTATGGTCGTGTTAGTCATCCAACAGATTGACTAACGGCTTACATATTTGTTCAATTTTCGTGGGTGGTTAGGTTACGTTAGGTTAGGTTAGGTTAGGTCTCACTGAAGGTGCCTTCGCAATACCTCTTGTTAATGCGGTCAGTCGTACCTTCAAGGTACAGAAAAATGATAGTCTTGGATCTGGTAGTCCTCTGCTTGTGGTTTCCGGTACTGAATTTGGTTCAAGATTATTCAGCTATGGTACCCGTTGTTATTCAAGGCTTGATCGAGGTATTCTATTTCAGATTTCAGGTTATGTGGTTCGGAGATGGTGAGTTCACGGTGTATTAAGGAGCTTATTACGGAATTCTTTTGAGACGGATGGTGCTGTGAAGATGTGTGTAGGTATCTATCGATGCGGGTTGGCCTGCGGTACACCTGATAGCCTAGAGTTCCATTCTGGTTGCGATGAACCAAAATGTCCAGTGGGGAGACTGTTGTTTTGCTCAATTTTCATGGTAAACTTGATACTTGTATGTTATGAGTTTAGGAAATTGAGAAACTCGAGGAAGATGTTTCTACCGCGTTTTCAGATGGCACAGGACGTTTTCCAATAATTTTCAATAAAAATTAAAAGATTTTGTGATGATCGCCAAAAACGACTTTTGTTAGCGACAACGTAGCCAGAAAAATAATCCAAATCACACTTCGGAAGAGTGATGCCCCCATGTTATGCTGTCTTCTCCAATCTTCAATAATGGGATTTAACTTATTTTTCTGGCTATACTGATCGTCGGAATAGAGTCACTCTGAGTAACGTAAACGAAGGTGTATCTTTGCCGGCCCAGCATGAGTAATATTTAACAGTCGAATTTTACCTTCAAAATGGGCAATATGCACATGCAGCTCACATTGGACACTCTGGTAGGTTCTTGCTCAGATAACAAGGTATCTGATCTAGAGTTAACTCTTAGCAAGTACTGGATAGCCAATTCGTAATATCCTGGTGTATGCGGTGTAATCGAAATCGTAATTTGTTTATGAGAACCTGCGAAAATTGTTCCCGAAGCTGGACGTAATTTTACGTCCCTCTCGACGTCTCCAAGCTGCCAGTTACGATGGGTACAAATTAATTTATAGTAAATATTTACCATACTATAATTAAAAAGACCGAAATTCAGCATCTTGGTAGTTTTGTATTCCATCTCTCCAAAATTTAATTCGTCCGGAATCGCCTAAAAAACGAAGCACGAATTTATTAAGTATACCACATTGTATATCGCATTTTTTTAAAGAGACCAAAGATCAATTTTACTTAATATGTTTTCTTATATTTTATTCATGCTAATTACGTTAAATGTGTGTTGTCATTGACCTTCTCATCAAAAATTTAAAAATAAAAATATACAGGGTGTTCGACCACCTCTGGGGGAAATTGTAATGGGAGATTCTACAGACCAAAATAAGACGAAAATCAAGAATACCAATTTGTTGATTGAGACTTCGTTAAAAAGTTATTAACGTTTAAAATTCCGCCTGTAGAACGGCAATCTGCAAACAGCTGCGTGGCACGCGATTGTGGTTCTCACTCAGAAAACTGTAAGACTGTCGATACGTCAGTAAGTAGAGTTTCTCATGCTGAGTGAGAACCACTATCACGCGTACGCAGCTGCTTGCAAACTGACGTTCTACAAGCAGAACTTTAAACGTTAATAACTTTTTAACGAAGCCTCAATCAAGAAATTGGTATTCTTAATTTTCGTCTTATTTTGGCCTCTAGAACGCCCCATTGAAATTTTTTTCAGAAGTGGCCGAACACCCTGTATAGTTTTATACTCTTTAAGGAAACCGTGTATATTTTAAATCGTGTAAAAGGAGTCACAGGTGTGGTTTACTGGTTTACGTTCATTTTGCATTAGCCGTTATTTATTTAAAAATAATTTTACCACTAATAATCCCATTTCGCACTTTCCTTGAACTCGCAGAGTTATGCAGCTTTTCAAGCCAATGGTAATTCCATTTTTAATGACAATCAAAACGCACTGCAATTCAAAACCATAATTCACGTTTGGCTCGGTTGGTTGGAAAATACACTCCTGGTGGAAAGTATCGTTGGGAACAATTTCTCCACTCTCATATTGCATATGAAGTTCCGTTGGCAATTGATAAAATGTATATCTATAAATACATAAAAATTTCGTGTCAATCCACTAACATCAACGCCATTCGAAACGATAAGACAATAGTTAGCGTAAAGAATCCATTTATTGTCACCTAAATATAAAATCAACATATAACAAGTTATTTGTGATGTTTATTTAATCGAACAGTTAAATTTTTATTTGTACGTTGTAGAATATTTTTGTTGTGTATTATTAACGCGTAACGGATAATCACATGTTTATCTTTATTATTAGATAAGAATGTTACTCATTTCTAAGAGTTTAAAATATCAAAAAAGGTATATACTTCCTGATCATGATCGTTAGATACGTAATATAACATAATATCTTAATTACGTGTAAAGAAAATGAATTTCTTTAATTTAAATTTGGCGGCACACCTCGAAGTGCCAGTAGAGCAGGGACTGTCTCGGACGGAGAGAGAGAGAGAGATGAAAAGGGGTCTGAAAATTGAGTAAAAATTTTAACCAAAGTGATAACTAGAGAAAGGATTGTAAAAGGAAATTGACTTGGAGAATAAACTTTAAATGTCGTTTCTCTATTTCAGAGCAACTCACAAGTGTTTACTTCTTTTGCCCATTTCCCAAAATAATAATAGGATAATTTTATAAAACGACATTTAAAGTTTATTCTTCAAGTCACTTCCCTTTTACAATCCTTTCTCTAGTAATCACTTTGGTTAAAATTTTGACTCAGTTTTCACACACCTTTTCACCTCCCTCTCTCTCTCTCACCGTCCGGGACAGTTTGTACATTGAAAAAGAGAACCATTTTTTACCTTTTTGGCGTTTTTTTATTTTGACTCCTGAGTGGGAGTCAGAGGGTCAAGAGGTCAAGGGGTAATATTTAAAGGCCCACAGTACAACTACTGAGTTTTAAGGGCTCAAATAAATGGGCAGTGTACAACAGTGCTTCTTACACTCAAATATGTTGAAACGTGGTAGTCTAGAATAAGGCTCACTATTATTGACTTTTGATCCCCCGTATCTCGGAAACTGTTCAATTTACAAGCTTGGGCCCATTGGAACTTTTCATCAAGACATCATGAACTGCATCATATCAAAAGTTCAGCTAATTTAACCGGGGGCCATTTTCCATAAGATCTATACGGGGTCCTTTAAATTATAGAAATTCATTTTCTTTACATACGTATGATGTTAATGAACAATAATGTATTATTAACCCTTCTAACAAAAAATTGTCAAAGTCTCTGGCGTCAATTATATAAAATATATAAATAAAATTTAATGTATGCATTGAATGATTGTGTATGCATGTGTTCAATAATTAAGAAATTTCTGTTCATTTACTTTAATGTGTGGCGAGTAATATTTCGCATTGCAAACATTTCGAACTGCTGACAACGCGGCATGACCGGTGCGAAATTTAATTCGTTGTTATTAAAGAACAGAATATTCGCAAACTCTGCATATCCCTTCATATCTATGTAACTCTCATTTTTCGTGCTCCCGTTAAAGTATATTGTCCATCGTTCGATGTAAATTTGTGCATCTTCGGGTTTCGGTGACATTTGAACCGTAATTATCTGATAATTTCTGCAATTCATACGTAAATTAAAATATATGTTTTTACGATACATAACGTGTGGCGCACATATGACCGCACGATGGCGCTTTACGGGGGAGTACAGGTCGACCGTAGGGGAACCCCAAATGAGGATCGCCACGCGGTTTCGGAGATTTTCGTGCGTGAATATTAATACTGAAACAGTTGTATCACTTTCAATGTATGACTTATTGACATGAATAAACTACGCTCTATATTATTAACGGACCACATAACGCGATAATGTACATGTAACAGCAATCATTAAAAAACACGACGATCAAATAAATTAATTCTCTGGCAAGCAGCAATTAAGATTGTTGAGAATAGTCGTGTTCCGTAAATTATAAAATACAATGTAAAGCAGTATGCGCAGGAGACGAGTGCGCACACAGCTTGGAGACTGAGTGTGTGAGCATATTCGAAAAGACGTAGTAGAAGAAACGTGGTATAAGAAGTTACGTTGAGGAGCCGTTAAAATGTAAAGCGTTTATGAATATCAATATAAATAAATATAATATTTAAACAACAGAGAATATTGATTTAATTATCCACGAATCTTAACAAAGATTAATCTTCGGTCATAGATAAGCAATTGTAAAGCATGGAATAGTTCGGTAACTTTATCAAAACTCAGATTCATCGTAAGTTGAATTTCAAGCAAGATAAATTAAAAAATCTTAATCACGCGTCTATTCCATTAATGTTTCGGAAAAATACAAAAAATTAAATCTATAAACGAACAACAGCCATTTAATTATAAACAATAATCGACAACACAATTTTGAACAAATAATGATGTTGAACGAAAGAAACTATAATATCGAAGACAATATCAAAGATTGAAAAAAAATATTTTCAAAAAAGTAAAAACGAAATATACGTATTTAATAATATAATAATTAATAATAAGTGTACAAGTAGTTCTTGTTTAACATGTTTTTTGGCTTTATAAATACAAATCAAATTTTCAGTGGGTTCAGTTAATTGTTAGAAACAGAAGACACAAAGTACATTCTACAAGGACATACTGAATTTGGATAATAGAACGCTCAGATAGTAGAGTGATCGTATAATCGATTATTCGGATAATAGAGATTCTACTGTAATACGTAAAAATTGACGTACTGGTAAATTACACCAAGCATTGGCTTCACGGTGAAACGACTCTCTGGTGGTGAAACAAATTGAAACATAAGGGGTAAATGACCGAACTTTTTGATCATGAACGTTGTATAAACTGGATACGGTGGCACACACGGTGGCATTATTACAGTTTGAGGTATTTTGTATTGCGGGATCCATCCGTTCGACGAAGCTGGAAATGAGTGACCTACGAAATACATTTGACTATTAAAACTCATTCTGAAACGCATCGAGTCTGTTCTTAATTATTGGGTTGAGCCATAAATAATTGCCGTTATTTCATACTAAATTTACTTCTCTTTCAAAAGAATTGCAAAACGACTTAGTTTAAAATATATTTTTTGTTATGACATACAGTAAAATGTCGATTATTCGAACTAATAATTAAACAAATACTTCAAACATACCTTGATAGATTTATTTATACAGGGTGTTCAACCCCCCTGGGAAAAATTTTAATGAGAGATTCTAGGGACCAAAATAAGATGAAAATCAAGAATACCAATTTGTTGATTGAAGCTTCGTTAAAAAGTTATTAACGTTTAAAGTTCCGCCTGTAGAACGGCAATCTGCGAACAGCTGCGTGGCGCGCGATAGTGGCTCTCACTCAAAAAACTGTAAGACTGTCGATACATCATTAAGTAGAGTTTCTCTCCAGACGAGATATACGAGTAGACCTTACACCTTGTTGCGTCGCAGACCCTCGAGCGTCCCGTCGCGACGCAATATAATACGTAGGGTAGGCCCAAGTGTTAGGGCCCAACCACTTGCTCGCCTGTTCATTAGGCAGTTTTCGTCGCCTGGGCAAGTGGTACCCTCAAGGCCAGACGTCGGCTAGGTGGTTGGAGGCGCCGCTCGACCACCCATATTTCCCACATGTTTTCACTTACCCTGGTGTCCTCTTAACCGACTTTCCTTTTCCAGAACAGCCCTATGCATACCTCCACTCCTTTTCCTAGGTCCCAGCCTACATTTTTCCCAATTAGCCAATCCTGATAAACCACTCCCAATTTTCTATTCCGACTCCGGCGTCTCCACCCACCAAAATTAGGTGTATAAGGTAGCCCGCGAGCTACGACCAGATCACTCTAAAAAATCCGAAAAGGATTACTTCACGCAATAAAGAATTTAAAAAACCAACCAGCAAAACTTCTTCGTCGTGAGCCAACCACAACAGTGTTGTCGCGACGATCACGACACACCTAATGTATTTTTTCGGCCCATTTTTCCATTTTTGTATCACTTGCAACATTACCAACAGGTTACGCAAATGAACACAAGAAGAAGTGAGACTGAAAATGAAATTACACAACATTCCTGGCCACACATTATATTTTCGGTAAAGAATTTTTTTCTCGAAAATATGTAGGATTTCGGAGGTATGTGTATTTACCAAAAATGATTGCAATTGACCCCTGCAATCGAAAATAATTTTTCTAGAGTGATTTGAAACTTTTCAATTTCGCCGAAAAATTTAGGCACCTACCACCTGTCGATTTTCCTTAATAAATTCATTTTTTTATTTTTAGTAATTTTGTTTGGCGCCCTACAGAAAAGTTGTCTAACACTTTTTTGTGGGTACCCATGAGCTCTACTTCAGAAAAAATGTTTCATTGAAATATATTCACTATTGTAGGTGTTATGGACGTTTGAAAATTGCGTTTTTTAAACCGTTCCATAGTCAACTCACATGTATTTACGCACGCACTACAGCTGCTGCCCGTAAATACTAATTCAGTGAATAGTTCCCCAACTGACCGCCATCCATGAGAAGAGGCCGCTAAAGTCACCTCCGAATTTTCAGGTCGGTATGACAGTCAGATTGGGCCTCGAAAGTCGATAAGGTGAAAGGTCTACTCGTATACCTCGTCTGTGGTTTCTCATGCTGAGTGAGAACCACTGTCACGCGCACGCAGGTGTTCGCAGATTGCTGTTCTATAAGCGGAACTTTAAACGTTAATAAATTTTTAACGAAGCCTCAATCAACAAATTGGTATTCTTGATTTTCGTCTTATTTTGGGCCCAAGAATCCCTTATTAAAATTTTTCCCAAGGGCGGCCGAACACCCTGTATGTATAGATAGTAGAAATTTGAACCTATTGCTGTGACAGTTGTAACGAATGGAAAGATCAATCCTTCCTTGCGTTCTGAGAAAACAGAACCGACGATCTCCCTTCCAAAGAGATTGTTCTCTGTACTGGGATTGAACGAAAGTTCACATAGTGCAGAATGACCTGCTCGGACTTGCACCTCGTACGGTGTCACGTTGAAGATTCCATCGGGATCTGTAACATTTCACACGAAGAAAAATTAATTTAATGCAGTGCCTTTCAACCTCTTTTGGCTCGTAACACCAAGTGTTATTTGTGTCTGTAACCTACACTCCTCATGATTATTATTTGCAAACACAAATAGTAGTGTACTAAACAATAAGTATAATCACTTTTTGCTCGAATATCTCAAGAATCGAAGTATTTTATGAATAATGTTTCAGACACAAATTATTCTATTTCAAAGAGGAAATAGAACTGCATTATTGTTTCTTAATTTTGTGGGCGACTTCATGGTTAGTTGAAGGTCAACTTCGCTACTTTAAATGAATACCTGTAGTTTTTTCAACGCCCAATTTCCGTGAAAAATCGAGTGCTTTATGCGATACATGTTTTTTGTAATAAATGGAAAATAAGCATACAAGTGAATAAATATTTATTCAAGAAAATAAAAGTGGGAGTAAACAAATCGTGATTACTACATACTAACTAGAAAATATAGTAGTCAACCGATCGTTTACTAAACAAAAGATATGTGCATTTTGGACTGTGAAGAAAAATATTCGGGTGTTAAGGGATTAAAATCACCTTTTTCCCACACGATTAATAAATCGGTCTGACTGTGGTTGGTAAGACATATTGCATGTGGAATTCTCTGAATGTCATATTCCATTTCTACGTTTGCTCGGCCAAAATTGAAATAGTTCTTCGATAAAGATAGTGGAGGCAAGACTCCTGTTATATCGACGCTGTCGCTCATGTACCCTTCAAAGCCACTTTTCATTATATGAGAATAACTAAAGTCACTTGCATCGGTTTTTTTCTTGGAAAACGAGTTACGGTATCCATATAATTCTATAATGATTGGTTCCTAAGTTTTGAACATACTTGTTAGAAACTGATTTGAATATACATAATAATCGAATTCAGTAGAAAAGAGCACAATAGTGGTCTCAAAAGAGCTCTATAGAGAGTACAAAACTCTAATTATTTTAATTTACCCGAACTTACGGGATTGTTCACATTTATAATAAGCGTGCTACAGGAATATACCGTACAAATCTTGAGAAATTGATAAAATATGAAAGTAAAATCTTCGAAATAGATATTGATTTTTATATTTACAATGAAAATTCTAATTGAAATCGTGTTTATTATCAATTAATACTGCTTGTAAGTGTATGGTTTTACAATTCAGAATAAATAAATTGTGTTCTACATTATGTATATTGTAGTTTTTATAAGCATATTAATACATTAGGTGTACAAATGAATAATCCAAATTATCTTAAGCAGTTATAAAATCAAGTTTAAAGCCAATAGATTTTCCCACTCTTTTGCGGTTATAGTGTTGACATATAGCTAGTTAAAACAAAAGATAGTTTAGCGAAAGGCCCAATACAACTTTCAAAAGAATTCAATTCAGTAGAGTCGAAAATGGCAACAGATAAGGTGCATATCCGACACTGCATTCTTTACAAATTCCAACAAGGGAAAAATGATGCAAGAGCATACTAATCGATTTGTTCCTTTCTCGGTGAAGGTGTTGTATCGTATGATGTGTGCGCATTTTGGTTTAAGCGGTTTAAAAGCGGTGATTTGAGTCTAATCGACAGACAACGCCTTCGAGGCCCTCGGAAGTGTGAGAACGATGATTTAGAACAACTGCTCGCTGAGAATGCGGCACAAACGCAAAAAGAACTTGCAGAACAGTTAGGAGTAACCCAGCAAACGATTTCCAAACGCCTACGTGAGATGGGAAAGATCCAGAAAGAAGGAAAATGGGTTCCGCATGAACTCACTGCAACCAACAAAAATCAACGAGTGGCAGCGTGTCTTTCTCTTCTCAATAAGTAGCGTCGAAAGTCTTTCTTGTGGAAAATCGTTACGGGCGATGAGAAGTGGATACTCTATGACAATCCGAAACGCAGAAAGTCATGGGTAAATCCGGGCGAAGCATCAATATCAGTTGCAAAACCCAATCGCTTCGGAAAGAAAGTTCTTCTCTGCATTTGGTGGGATATCAAGGGCGTGGTTTATTATGAGTTGTTGGAACCGAGTGAAATAGTTACTGCAGACTGCTACCAACGTCAATTAATCTGTTTGAGTCAAGCATTGGAACGAAAACGTCCGTATACTGGCAAAGGAGAACGTCCAGTGAAATTGTTGCATGACAATGCCTGGCCACATATTGCTTCCCATACAAAAGACACCATAATGAGTCTTGACTAGGACGTCTTACAGCACCCGGCTTATTCACCAGACATTGTTCCATCTGATTATCACCCGTTCCGGTCGATGCAACACGCCTTATTCGATATGCGCTTTCAATCATTGGATGAGATCCGAAAATGGCTTGACAACTTTATCGGGTACAAAAACGTAAAATTTTTCCGAGATGGAATTCATCAACTGCCTGAATGATGGCTTAAAGTTATAGAAAGTAACGGCGAATACTTTGATTGAACAATTCAATTTACTTTCTTTTAAAATAAACATTGAATGTGACTGAAAAAATTGAATTATTCATTTGTACACCTAATCAATAATAGTTAGTTATGTAATTACATTATTTCCTTCTCTCCAATATTTATATTGTTCTTTGAATGTATCTTTTTATAAAGTTATTGGGAATTAAAAAAAAAATAGAAGCCACGTTTACCTCATCACTGATATAGTGGATAATAAATCAAGTTCGATAATACATACTAATCTCTTGAATATAATATAATGTTTAAAATAGTATTAAAATACCATTTAATTTTACTATCGAAATTAATTATTTAATTAATATTTAAATGTTAAATATTATTTGTTCCAAAATTAAATTTTACTCCAAATTCGACTACACTGCTCAAAATAATTAGAAGATTACCCAATCAAATGACTCTTATCGATAGATGCTACAGTATTCGATAATTTAAAATATTGTGTGAGTTAAACTATGAATAAAAATATTATTATATTAAAAATATCCATCCCTGGAATCAGAGCTAAGTAATAATTAATTATTTAATTAGTTTTGCATTTTACTAAAATAAGCAATCAATGAATCATAATTAAGATTATTGAATGATCATAAAGTACCCTGTATACTATTACTATATCCATATGTAATTTTGTGTGATTATTTTATATAGAATAATTTTTCCAAATTCTTAAATACAGTCGAAAGCTGAACATCGATTAGCCAAATCAATTGAAATGCAAGTCTAATTAAATAAGCGATTTTTCAGATGAAATCAGACAAGGGAAATACAATTTGCAAATGCAACATTAATCATGAAATAATTGGTAATTGAAAAGCTTTATATTTTTAAAAAATGCATAACAAAAATAAATTAATGAATGATCATAAACCAGTAATTTGTAATTATTTTACGAAAGATTATTTTAATTTTAACTAGCCTTTTTTGGCTTTCTTATTTATTAACTTAATAATACAATCATAGTTAAATTCGTTTTCCGGTATGCTTGGCAATCTTCTAATTGCTTTGACTAGTATATTATTTCAACCTATCGATTTACTTGGTGTAGTATTAAAACGGGCAAATAGTACGTGTAACATCCGTTTTCTGGCGGAGTGAATGTAATCAAAACATATTTATAAGAACAAGCATTAATGCAACCGTATCTCGTGTCTAATTGAAACGGTCGATACTTTTCGTTCATGGCAAGCATAAATGTCGCAGCTACTTTAGACTTGTTTGTAAGTTTGATTCGCCATTTTGGTTCAGGATTCTCATTCGTCGAAAACATTATGATTTTCGTTACGGAACATGTCACTTCCGGACCTATGAAAATGTAATTAAATTACGCATACATTAAAAATATAGTATAATAAAAACATATGAGAAAAACAAGTCCCACAAAAAAATTGAATTACTATCCTTCATTTAAATAAAGCAATAAATAGCAAAAATTTTCTTTTTATAAAAAAGAGATTCGTATAATATATACACATAGGGAACTCTCACATAACACGGATATGTATTCCGCTTCATAGAAATGCCACAGTTATATAAATTGCTTTGTACAAAACTCAGATCTAACAGAAACAATGGAATTAACTCACAAATAAAAAAAGAATGTTTTAATTTTTTTTTAATATGGACAAAATTGTAATGGGAGATTCTAGAGGCCAAAATAAGACGAAAATCAAGAATACCAATTTGTTGATTGAGGCTTCATTAAAAAGTTATTAACGTTTAAAGTTCTGCCTGTAGAACGTCAGTTTGCAAGCAGCTGCGTACGCGTGATAGTGGTTCTCACTCAGCATGAGAAACTCTACTTACTGACGTATCGACAGCCTTACAGTTTTCTGAATGAGAAACCACAGACGAGGTATACGAGTAGACCTTTCACCTTATCGACTTTCGAGGCCCAATCTGACTGTCATACCGACCTGAAAATTCGGAGGTGATTTTAGCGGCCTCTTCTCATGGATGGCGGTCAGTTGGGGAACTATTCACTGAATTAGAATTTATGGGCAGCAGCTGTAGTGCGTGCGTAAATACATGTTAGTTGACTATGGAACGGTTTAAAAAACGCAATTTTCAAACGTCCATAACACCTACAATAGTGAATATATTTCAATGAAACATTTTTTCTGAAGTAGAGCTCATGGGTATCTACAAAAAAGTGTTAGACAACTTTTCTGTAGGGCGTCAAACAAAATTACTAAAAATCAAAAATGAATTTTTAAGGAAAATCGACGGGGGTAGGTGCCTAAATTTTTCGGCGAAATTGAAAAGTTTCAAATCACTCTAGAAAAATTATTTTCGATTGCAGGGGTCAATTGCAATCATTTTTGGTGAATACGCATACCTTCGAAATCCTACGTACTTTCGAGAAAAAAATTCTTTACCGAAAATATAATGTGTGGCCAGAAATGTTGTGTAATTTCATTTTCAGTCTCACTTCTTCTTGTGTTCATTTGTGTAACCTGTTGGTAATGTTGCAAATGATACGAAAATGGAAAAATGGGCCGAAAAAATACATTAGGTGTAAGGTCTACTCGTATATCTCGTCTGGGGAGAAACTCTACTTACTGACGTATCGACAGTCTTACAGTTTTTTTAGTGAGAACCACTATCGCGCGCCACTCAGCATGAGAAACTCTACTTATTGACGTATTGACAGTCGTACAGTTTTCTGAGTGAGAACCACTATTGCGCGCCACTCAGCTGTTCGCAAATTGCTGTTCTACAGGCGGACTTTTAAACGTTAATAACTTTTTAACAAAGCCTCAATCAACAAATTGGTATTCTTGATTTTCGTCTTATTTTGGTCTCTAAAATCTCCCAATGAAATTTTTCCAAATATGGCCGAACACCCTGTATAATTTTGTTTGTATATGTATACTTACATATAAACAGAAAAAAAAAAGTTGTTTTTTTTCTTTTTAAAAAGTTGTTGATTTTTTATATTACTATTTTGTTTCATATAACACGAATTCACGTAATATGGCATTGTTTAGGAAGTAAAGTGCCGCGTTATATGGGGGATACATGTATTAGTATAAAGTTCTATCATTCGAACCAATGCAATCTCCACGGGTAACAATTTTCGTAGACGTTCCAATGGAATCGACGATAGTAAAATAGTCCACGTTTTTTGAAAATGCGATAAACGGCCGATAACGTATCTCGCACGTATATTTCTCTTTAGGTGCTAGTATCCAAGTATACGAACGTAAATGAAAGACATGATCCAAAGGATTGGTGGTTGGGTCTCTTTGAACCTGATACATTAGTTCTTTCTGCAACGAATAATGTTAATGTTTTTAGTCTGTGAGATTTCTTCGTGATGTAATTCACAAATGAGAAAATATTGTTTTATTCTTATAATAAAGCTGAAAACATCAAAGTATTTCTTTCAGAAACAGTTAAATAAATAACATTAACTAATTGTATCAATAAATAAAATTTGTTGTATAATTTTATTGCATCAAAATAAAATTTAATACATTATAAAAAATGATTTTATTCAACAAATCATGACAAAAATATGTAAAAGGACCAGTGAACTCCTTGAGACCATAATCACAATCTGTAAAGTGATATTGTTTTGTTTATAAACCGCCAAATGTATTTTCTGATATTATTTACTTATTTGCTCAGCCTTTTAATCTTGACTATCATAGTGGTCACCGGTGACCGGCGCTTTAAACTTACAATGTGTTTCAAAATTATTTACGATGGAAGAACCCTAATACTTGTAAAATAGTAAATAACGATACTGTAATTAAAAATACTATGAAATAACGGAGTTATGATCCCCTGCATTTGTCCTACAGGATAGCGTATTTAAAGGACAATGTTAAGTCATAGAGGGGTTTACTGACCCAAGAGCGTACAGCATATGCTATACACCGTTGGAAAGGTCTCGCCAAGGCGAATCGACTGATACCATTTTTAACTTCGATATCAGATGGGATAATGTCGAAAAATGGCCTCAAAGTTCGAGATTTTGCGGTTTTGAACAAAAGAAACCGGTAGTAAAAGCCCATCCGACCCGAGGGACCTCGGGTAGGCACCTGAGGAAAAACCGAGGGGTGTAAGCGATACTCTAGCAGATTGGGACGGCAAATGTGCCCCACCACCTTCATTTCAGTGCCGTGTTGGGCCTGCGTTTGTCGCATACGCCCCGTTCCAAATGCCCAGGGCGAAATCGCCAATGGATCAGTTGTTTTTCATGAACATAATATATTCATGGTAGACAATTCGCAGGTATAAGTTGGGAATGTGCAGGTTAGTATTCAGACTAATGCGTCACTTACAATAGTGAATGGAGTGACATTTTATTGATTGAACGGAACATAATGATGTGAATACTGAATACTAACCTGCACATTCCCAACTCATACCTGCGAATCGTCTATCATGAATATATTATGTTCATGAAAAACAACTGATCCATTGGCGATTTCGCCCTGGGCATTTGGAACGGGGCGTATGCGACAAACGCAGGCCCAACACGGCACTGAAATGAATGTGGTGGGGCACATTTGCCGTCCCAATCTGCTAGAGTATCGCTTACACCCCTCGGTTTTTCCTCAGGTGCCTACCCGAGGTCCCTCGGGTCGGATGGGCTTTTACTACCGGTTTCTTTTGTTCAAAACCGCAAAATCTCGAACTTTGAGGCCATTTTTCGACATTATCCCATCTGATATCGAAGTTAAAAATGGTATCAGTCGATTCGCCTTGGCGAGACCTTTCCAACGGTGTATAGCATATGCTGTACGCTCTTGGGTCAGTAAACCCCTCTATGACTTAACATTGTCCTTTGCCCTACAACAATTTTTGCCACCGGAGCGATCGTTCGGAGTCGAGTGGGATTTATAACTCGAAAACAAGAACGTTAACGCTTATTTTCGCTTATATAATATTTGTGCAGTTTCAAGTTCTCTACCCGGTAAGCTAGTTGTTTTTTTTTTTATCTCGAATTTTGACACATTTTTTCGTCAACAACTCGAAACAAATACATTAACGCTTATTTTGGCTTATGCAATACTTGTGCAGTTTAGCGTTCTCTACCTGGTAGGCGTATCAAGGTACAGCATTGAATAATAGAATATTTCTATTTTTCATATTATAATTTGAACAAATGTTGAAGACACGACTAGATATCGAATACTGGCGTGATACATAATGTGTCAATACACTAAAGCAATGGTATATCTAAAAATCTAACGAGGGTTGTGCAAACACACTTTGAAAAACTTTATTAGAAGAGATAAAGAAAAAGTTTATTTAATAGTAATATTGAAAATATTACATCGACATACTACATAACATGTATTAATTAATTAATACATGAAGTAAAAAGTAAACATTAATATATTTTCAGTTTTATTACCTTTACTTTCTAATTTCTATATTGAATACAGTGAGTAACAAAAATATTCGAACACAAGGGTCTAAAATTATACTTTATAACTAAATTTTGTTTGCACTACCCAAACAGTATAAAGACGCCTTAAAAACGATTTTTAGTGTACTTCCATAGAGCCACAAAAATACATTAGTGTTACTAAATTAGTGTAAACAAATAATTATTCGTATAATGAATTCAAAATTATTCGAATCTTATTATTTATCATTATTTATTTAAATAAATAGAGAATAATTTGTTACAAATAATAAATAATTACGAAATAAATATAAAAATAAACAGCTCTTCATTCGTTATTTATTTCATAAAAATTACAATTTGAATCATGAAATGAAATTACAGCTACTAAAAAAAGGATCCATATACTGCAATATGTGTACGTTCAGTTTAAACAATAATAACTTTGATTATAGAAAGCTACTTAGTTATTAAAGACACATAAGCAGTTAGAAAATTAAATTAATTCAGTTGTCAGATAGAAATACAACAGACAATCTGAAATGCCGAATGAAGTAAGGACATCGGCGAGAAAAAAATATTCATAAGCGACATCTATTGACGAAACATAACAATAAAAACCAAAACTTTGGGAGAATCCCGGATTTCTTTTATTATTTCCGTTTCTTTTGTTTCATAGCATTTCGTAAATTCTTAGCGTGCTTTGTTAATGAATCATAATTTTTTATCATAATGAGTGTTAAAAATAAATAAACTATAATAGAGGAAAACAAATTTGTGATTTATTTATAGAAAATTTGGAAATCGCGAGATTGGTCAAATGATAAAAAGGAGTCATGCCAGGATTAATACAGGTTTATTTAAAAATATGCGTTAACCGAAAGGGATGAACGATTTATTACAAAGAAAATAAAAGAAAATCCATTTGAGAGCGAGCCTAAAATCGCAGCAGAATTAAAGGCAAAAACTGATAACAAAGTTTGTCTAGAAACGATATCAAACAAACTTAACGACTCAGGGTATTTCGCACGAGTAGCGAGGAGGAAACACTACGCCAATAAGGTGAATAGAAAAAAAAGATACCAATTATTAATATTACAAACTTAGTTTTTCGAAACAACTTTAAAAGACTGTTCTTGTACTTTCGTCGCACTTCTGTGCATTAAATTATAATATTTTGTTTACGATAGAAATAAAATAGTTCTTAAAAATGTTGTACATTAGTTTTCTGTTTTCTATTATTCCTTAATTATTTTTTAACATTTTTTTTTAATATTATTCTTATAGAAATTTCGTCCATTATAGTTATTGTAAATACACGATACCAGTTAAGTAAAACTACTTCCTAAAACGGAAGAAAATTTTGCATTTGCTTCCGGTACGATTATAAGTTTTCGAACATGGAGAACTTATTTACGAAAGTCGAAAACCTTTACAAATTACGGAACTGAGATTTTACACGCAACAACCTGATACTTACAGAAGATTCGTTCCATATTTCAATCGTCTTTACTACCGTTTTACCAATCTCCACTTTATCGTAATTCAGCTGGATCAGTTTCGTTTCATTCGGGTAATTCCCATTCATTTTGAAAAATTACTTTCGTTCTACCACGGTTATTTTCGTTTTAAGACAAAAACCACTGACATGTCGATCTTGTGTGTACGTATATATTTCTTTCTCTATCCATCTCTCTCGTACGCGATAGCGCATTCATTTTGTTTTGATACGTGGATGACGTATCCTCGAAGACGGTGAATCGAACCTTAATTATTCCATAAAAATATCCCACGTCTTCCATTCTTCTTCCTCTTCTCTCGCTCTTTCTGTGTATCACGGGAAATCTCGACGATATTGATCATAGATTCGATCACTTGTTAATCGACGGTGACGTTAGCCGCGTTCTTTATGGCTTTCTGACAGTTCCTGCAAAAATGGCTCGATGGGATGTCTTGTATCTTCAGTGTTTACTGCTCCTTGCGAATAATTACGTGAAATACAGCACGTGCATAGATTATGGTCGACAATACGATGAATGTAAGTGTTTCACGTGTGATGAAATCGATGGTTTTTGTTTACGAACGATATTAAATTTATAACCTATTCCTTCAGACGGTATGGAGTTGGACAAGATTTGTCACACGCTTGGCAAAAAGTCAACTATCGAGATCACGAATACAGCGGCAATAGTCCGACCTAAGCACATGTTCGATCGATGGACATCAGTTATTAAAAATGTTCATTGTAAATTCGTTTTCAAAGTAAAAAGGGCTGGATTGTTCGGTGTGATACAAAAAATGTCTTTCAGACAAAATTCAACGGATTGTATAGACTACGTACAGGTAATTAAACGTTTCTTATACTGTCCAGTGGTTCTTAGTAAACGTTAATAATTATTATGTGAAAATTTAGCAAATATGACCAGTGTCGAAAAATAATGTGTTTCAGTGTTCTCCTGTATAATTTCCACTAAATTTACTTGCTGAACTGTTTAGTTTGTAGATATGTCATGTCAGATAAGAAATGATAAGTCATTATCGCTACTACAATAACAAAAATAAATTATTCAAATTGTTGTAAATTATGAAACAGCGAACCAAGTAGTTTTACTGTAAAAAAAGTTATACAAACAGTAAATATGAGATAGTTGGCTTACGCATCAAGTTTAATTTTAATTTTATTTATCTTCTTCTTAATATTAAAATGTGTCTGTACAAACCCGTACAAAAATTTTTCTCTTATAGTTTTTATCCAAGGTACCACATTTATATTTTGTTTAATATTTGATTTTTTTTAGTACTTGAAACTGAAGATAAGAGAAAAAACATTTTTACTTAAACGCTTCATACATTTATTACTTTTAATCTTATGTATATTCATTAATAGTTTTACTCTAAAAATTATTATCAGTTTTAGTTTAATACTTGGTTTAATTTAATCATTTTATATATTCTTAATCTTTTATTTACGATATGGGTGTTTGATTTTTGATTCATCATTCAACATTATTCTTTCAATTCATTTACTATTTGTTTAATTTTTTTTAGACTAAATTATTTGATTCACATTTTAAGAATTCAAACAATTTGAATAATTTATCATTCTGTATGTAAAAATTAATTTTTGATTTTACATATACACGTGTAAATAATATACATATACGTGTTTGGATTTGTGTAATTTTTAATACACGTCTTCACACGTATTTCGGTATACGTGTAGCTGTGTGTTTCAGTAAACAATTAAACATCTATACAGAGTGAAGCATGAATTAGTCCCCACAATTTTTCAGCCTTTTCCGATGGTCTGACATTTTTTTTTTTTTTTAATAACTATTGCTCCCCAGTCATTGCTTGCTAGCACCTTGATGACATCCATCTTTTTGGTGCGTATATTTTTCAAGTGTTTCATGTGTGAAACCCAAGTTAGTTTGCAATCAGATGTAAGTCCAAGGAGTTTAATATTGTCTACTTTTTCAACTTCGATGTTTTCGATGTATAGTTTTGACAGGTTTCGGTTTTGCTTATATTGCTTAGAGAATATTATGTACTGGGTTTTTTGGGGGAAGAGTCTAAGCCCTGATTGTTTGGACCATGATTGGAGTTTGTTTATGGTTGTCTGCAGGAGCTTTATTACTGTTGTAATGTTTATTCCGCTGCAAATTAATGTTAGGTCGTGAGCAAACAAGTGTCCTTGGATCAGTGGTGGCACATTTTCTATTATGTCATTGATTCCTAATAAAAATAGTTGGACACTGATTACTGATCCTTGTGGTACTCCATTTTGGATGACTGTTAGGTTGGACAGAGTTCCATTTGCCCTGACTTGGATGGATCTATGGTGGAGGAAGTTTTTGATGAAGGCAATCATGTTGCCATTTATTTTTAATTTGGTGAGGATATCGATGATTCTTCGTCTGTGTTTCGTATCGTACGCTTTTTCAATATCTAGACATACTGTAGCAAGTAGTTCGTTTCTTAGGAACGCTTCTGAGGTACTTGTTTCTATGTTGACGAAGACGTCTGTCGTTGATCGGAACTGTCTGAATCCATGTTGATTGGGTGTTAAGATGTTGTTTGTCTCAAGAAACCACCTAAGTCTTCTATTAATGATTTTTTCTATGAGTTTGTATAGGCAGTTGGTTAGAGCAATCGGTCTGTAACTTTCTAGATTGTGTTTGTTTTTATTTGGTTTAAGTAGGGGTACTATTATGGCTTTCCTCCAGTTTTCAGAGAAAACTTGGTGGATCCATATGCAGTTGAAAATATGTAGTAGGTATTTGATGCCAGTTGGCGGTAGTTCTTTTAACAGTTTGTTTGGTATGTTGTCTGGTCCCAGGGAGGAATTTTTTGTAGTCTAGCGGGTGTTCTTTAGTTCTTCTAGTGTTATATTTATGTTAAGGATAAGGTCTATGCAGATGCCGTCTGTTATGTTGGGGTTATTGTCAGAGGGGGTTACTGGAGGATAGTGGTCATAGTTCAAGTTGTTTGAGTGGTTTTGGAAAGTCATCGCAAGGATGTCGGCTATCTCCTTTGGATTAGTTGTGGTGCTATCGTTATCTAGATTGAGGAATGGTCTTCCATTGATATTTTTGATTTTTTCCATTGTACCCGTTGGGGTTCGATTAGTGATAGTGGATATGTACGTTTGCCAGGAGTGTCTTTTGCTTTCTTTGATTATTTTGCGGAAATTTGCTCGTAGCTTTTCGAAGTTTATAAGGTTTTCAGTTGTAGGGTATTTCTTTGCTCTGTTGAAGGCTATGTGGCTTTTTTTATGGCATATTGACAATTTTCGTTCCACCATGACACATTTCTTCTCCTGTTGGTTCGGGTGTTTATTGGTTCAGAGGATTCCGTTGCTGCTGCTCGAATAATTGTTTCTAATGAATCGATTGTTTGATTTATAGAGTAAGGGTCAATGTCTTGGTTTAGAGATTCCTGGAGGCTATTTGCTATTATTGATTTGTATTTGTGTCAGTCTATTTTTTTTAAGGTTCCATTTCGGTGCAGGTTGGTTTTTTGGTGATTGGGCAAGGTCTTCGTAGGTGGTTATTATTGGGAGGTGGTCACTGTCGTGGAGGTCATCAAGAGTATCCCATTCCATATATTGTGCAAGTCTACTACTACAGATTGCCAAGTCTATTGCGCTAAACTTTCTGGTGCTGATAGTGAAGCGGGTTGGATTTCCTGTATTGAGCAGGATGATCTCTGGATCTTTAAGCAAGTTCTCTATGATTTTTCCATGGCTATCTGTTTTATGCGAGCCCCAAAGATGATGATGGCTATTAAAGTTGTCCATTAATATAAATGGAAGTGGAAGTTGGTTAACTAGGCCCTTTAAGTCTACAAGGTTTAGGGTTTGGCTGTTAGGAATGTATATGCTGCATATACTAATCTTTTTGGGGAGTAAAACAACTACTGCAATCACTTCTAGATTTGTGTTGAGTGGTATTTCAGAACAGTTAAATTTTTCTAATACTGCGATGCATACTCCTCCACTGGAAAAGTCTTCGCGATTTCTATTTTTTGAAAAGGTAGAGAATCCTTTAAGGGTCGGGTGGTGATGCTTTTTGAGGTTGGTTTCTTGTAGGCATAAGATGGTTGAATTGAGTTGGTTTAGTAAAATTTGCAGCTGCTCGTAGTTGGCGTATAGTCCATTGATATTCCATTGTAATATTTGTTTCATTGGAGTTATTATTGGGAGGTATCGTTGTCTAAATCTGATGATCAGTTGTGAGTTGAGTTGTCTATTAGGTTTTGGTTGATTTTGTTGTACAGCCTCCACAGTCTATTTTTGATACTCTGTTCTTGTAATAAGGGACAGGTTTTAATAATCATATCAGTTAAGGCAAATGTGTTGTTAGTGTATTGTTTTGAGATTTCTAGCGGATTAAGTGATCCTATTGCGTTTTCTAGAAAGCTTTTAAACTGGAGGTAGTTTAGTACGTAGTTGTTGCTTGTATCTTCTATGTGGCTTTCATGTTTCATATCGAAGTTAATCAGTATTTAACCAACAAGAAATCGCAGTTGCTTAAATTTAAATAAAAATTGATTTTCGATAAAAAATGAAAGTCATTGTTATATTTTTAAATGGAACTAGATATTTTTAATTTCATAGTATTGTAGGTGACATCGAGACGAATTCAACGACCTGCTACACAATGACTTTCAATTAAAAATTTATGCAAAACCAAACTGAAAACATGTAGGTGCATGTAATTAGTAATTAAATTAAATGTTTAAACTGCATTCTACCATCTGCAACGCAAAGTTCTACTCTTTGTAATAAAGTCTTATATGTGTGTCTTCAACTAGAGAACTTATTTATACATTTCTACACATTTTACATAAATTTTGTATAAATTTTTCTTTTAATTTGTGTGTTAAGTTTTGAAGTTGAATAAATGAGCATTCGTAATGTTTACGTCTAAATGTGAGGTCTTAGTGTTATGTATCGCCAAATAATTTCAAATATTGTGGTAATCGATTCATGACAATTTTTCTTTCAAGGTCATCTGAAGGTCATCTGAAAGTCATAGTATGCAGCTCGTTGAATTAATCTCGATGTCGCGTAAAATGCTATGAAATTAAAAATAACTAATCTCATTTAAAAATATAACAGTGACCATAATTTTTTTATCGAAAATCAATTTGTTTTTAAATTTAAGCATCTGCAATTCCTTGTTGGTTAAATACTGATTAACTTCGATACGAAACATTTGTTTGTCAGATCATCAAAAGAGGCTGAAAAATTATGGGGACTAATTCGTACCGCACTCTGTATACTATTATTATATCCATATGTAATTTTGTGTGATTATTTTATATAGAATAATTTTTCCAAATTTTTAAGTACAGTCGAAATCTGAACATCGATTAGTCAAATCAGTTGAAATACAAGTCTATTTAACTCTTTGCGGCACAGGATTTCAGATAATAAAATAGGCCCATGTTGCATAGAAATTTTATTGCGTTTTAAATTAAACAAAATTGGTATATTTTTATTAATAAAGGTATCACATAATGTAAAAACATAAAAAAATAGTAGTAGTTTAATTAAACTATGAACCTGTATTGGCATGTTGAATGTGGCCAACACAAGAGGATACATTTGTAACATTTGTTGAAGATATTACCAACTGCTTTACGTATCATCCTTCCACGAAGAAGGCACAGCGTGTTTACATCCCCACTCCTGTTGCTGTCCGCTGACTCACAGGTATTGGTCGAAAACGGTGACGAAGATCGGTAACAGCCAATCACCGAACTGCAGCAAGAGTGGGGATATAAACACGCTGTGCCTTCTTCTCGTGGAAGGGCGATAAATAAGACAAAATATAAACGTATGCGCGCGCATGCAGCTATTGCAACATTTCGTGGTGGGACTAAAAATGTCCCACCATGCATTACGGCGCATCAAAAAGGTGGGACGTTTTTAATCCCAGCGTGCCCCAAAGAGTTAAATAAGCGGCTTTTCAGATGAAATAAGACAAGGGAAATACAGTTTGCAAATGCAACATGAATCATGAAATAACTGATAATTGAAAAGCTTTTGAATTTGAATATTTATTACGTACAAAATGTATATTTTATGACAAAAATGCATAAAAAAATTAATTAATCGGTTTTAAATACACTTCCGCAATATATACTTTAATTTTTATAAACGAAATTCAGATAATCGATGTTTTATTATATGTAATTTTCAACTATACAAGTAATCTGAGAAAATATTGTTCCCTGGGTCGCAGGAAACAATAACATACAACAGAGTTTTAATTAACAAAGTTTATTAAAGTAATCGTTTATTTTGATGTAGAAATATAAATGTATTGACATTTTTTGGTACTAGTTTAATCCAAAAGGAAACGACGCCTATTGGAAAATGTCCAACATACTTGTTTATTTAATATCAAAACAAAATAGAGAATTATTTTAATAAACATTGTTAATTGAAACACTGTTGTATGTTATTGTATCAGGCAACCTCGAAAGACAATATAATTTCTCGAAATTATTTACCTACTTAAAAATTATAATTGAAAATTCAAATACTTTATTTTACATAAAATAATTACACAAAATAAAAATTGCTAATAGCACACGGGTATATGTATCTTAAAAATTACACGGATCTAAATACGTGTATATGTATAAAATTCAAAACCATGGCCTCTACTGCAAGTCTAGTTATTTTTGGTTTCGCATTACAATTCCTACAACCCAGGCAGTCTTGTTTTATTATTAACTTGAAATATAAAAAATCAACAAAAATACTTTTTTTATTTGTCTCATTGAAACTTTTGTGAAACTCAATAGATGGGCAAACTTCATTTTCGACACAACATTTCTTTTTAATTTTCAAATTAAATGCGTACAGGTGCATAGGGGGAAAAATTGGAAAAAAATCATTTTCCGATGTTTGCCATATTTGTCAAATTTACATCTTAGCATCTGCTAAGATTTCTAGACTTTTATAATACATTTATTACAAGTGATTTGTTTTAAATATCTGAACATAGAACTGTTAATTTATTGAATATTATTACTATATAACAATCTGTTTGGAAATCAATCTAATAGTTCAAAAGGAAAGACAACCATCGGACGCAGAAATTTTGTGGTACGCTTGATCGTAGTAAAATAAAGTATTACTCAGTTTCTGAGCCTGGAAACATTTTATATGTGCCTGGAACAACACCACAAACAGCATGGAACTTTGCTGAACACGATCCGGGTGAATATAAGTCCGGAGGAGAATTAGAAACTGAAATATTCATTTCAAAAGAGAAATTACGGGACGGGGAATTCCTTGCTCTCAGCATTGTTTATACTCCATATAAAAGTAAGTACGATCAATTTGAACATTTTCTGTGGATATTAAGATAAATTCCAGTTCAGATTGTAACGTAAATGAACAGATTGCAGCAATGTGAACAAAACCGAATATACGTCGGTTGGCTTCAACACCTGTTTGCGGAATGAATTCTTTTGCGATGGAATTTATAATTGTGCCCCATTGATTTGTTCGGATGAAGAGAATTGTCTATACAACAATGAGATCACTAGCACTGGAACTGGTACAAAAGTAACCGTGGGTGCGGTGACTACATTAATTTTGTGTTTCATCATATTTGTTATGTGCCTATGGATATGTAAACGATCGCAAAAGTTATGTTGGTCTCTGGATTGTGCCGATCCAAGCGCGTGTTCTACAAGACCAGGCCCGTTGCCACGTGAACCTGAAGGATCTGCAAATCCACCGGTTCCCACTGCTCCGATGCTGGAAGTTGCTGTTTCCTCGTCCGTTGCCGATAAAGATCTGCCACCTAGTTACGATTCATTATTTCCAGAACAAAGTAATCCCGTTAGATCATAATCGTAAGTTACTAAATGTAATTAATAAGTATTGACAGCGTATTATCTAATGTTTTAATTAGATATTGCTGTATACAGTGCAGTCTTCATATGTATGGTATGAATGAGTGCCTTCCTATACGAAAGAGATATATAGCTACATATATAAATTCTTGAAAAAAAAAAAGGAAACTAATAGATCTTCTAATGTTTTTTAGTATTTTATACAAATAATTTTCTTCGTGTTCTACATGTCTACTTATTGTAATACTGAAAATTTTTATATTTTGTATTACTCATTTTAGAAGACACATACAATTATTTTTATGAAATATATTTCAAAATATTTCGTACACTATTTTCTAACGATCCAATAGGAATACTTTTTTTTGTATGATATACAAATGTAAACAAAATTTATAAGTATACATTGACACTACGATAATGATCTTATTTTTAAAGAAAGATTACTTAATTACTTAACAACGAAAAATTACTTTAAGAACAAAGTTTGTTTATAGTTCATAAGTTTTCTTTTTGAACCTTGCAAAAGTACAGTATTTAATAAATTTAATATTTATATGATATTGTTTTTACTTTTTGTTAAAGTACTTGTAACTTGTTAGTAAAAGTAATTCATTTAAATGATTGTTTTGTATTGGTAATCTGTATTACAATAATCTGTATAATGAAACATGTATTTATTAAAACGTAGGACAACCATTCTACGTATTTTGTAAACTCGAAGTAATATAGTTTAATGTAAGATATTTATAACGAGTCTTTATACACGTATAAAGTATAAAAATTTTATAGTATTATACAAAACTATAAACATGTGTATATTTTGAAAATTTATTTGTTACAAACCTTTATAAACGTATACATGGCGACATTGTGTAAATACTACATTTGTGATAATAAAATTATTAAAACTTATTACATTTATCACATTTCTCTTCCTGCAAACTTACGTCGTCAGTTTTTTCTGTCGGGATATGTTCGAGCAACCATAAACAAGCATTGATAATGTTATCGACGTCAACTGGTCCAGACGCTAAAGGATGATTGTCTTCGTAAAAAAGCATCCTATAACATAGTTGTTTTTAATATTTTAATATTACATGAGCAACTTAATTCAATGGGAAATTAAATCCAAAAAAATGTGTTACTCCAATTAAAATATACAAATAATGGTTGAAATTTAATTATTATTTAAGTTAAAATTAATTTTTACTTACGAAATACTATTAGGATTGCTAACTCAAACTTACTTTGTCTTAACATTATTTGCCTTCAAACGTTGATACCACAATTTTCCTTGAGACGGAGGTACACGTAAATCATTTGAGCCAATGCATAGTAAAGTTGGAGCTTTGACTTTACTAACGTGAATGATCGGAGAACATTTAAACATTTTCACAAGCATTTCGACTTGATCCGATTCTGCCATTGGTGTGCTTTCATCAAATGGATAATTCACTACAGCGGCACACCTGCAATTAAATTCGCAACGAAATTATTATTTTATATGGCAATGATCGACATTAATACAATAAAATATTGTAAGTTTGTAGTTCATGTCTCTGAATTAGTTGTTCTTTGCGTCTTATTATACTTTGTTCTACAATTACGCTTACACATCGTGATGGTACATAATTTTCTCTTCCTTACTGAGAGCATTACGACTGCAATATAATTGAGATAATTGAGAACTATGAAAAATTTGTAAAAATACATTAATTTGTTACCAGTCTGGAATATCTGATATTGTAAACATAGCAGCGATGTCGATTACAGGATTCCTCGCAACAACAACTTTGTACAAGTCCTAGAGGATAAGTTCATTATATTTTAACAGATATTAAAAAGAAATTATTATAAGCTATATATACAGGAATTATTTTTATTTTATAAATCCATTGAAAAGATAAAATTTTACGACTACGAGTTCTTATTTAATATAAATAATTAGTAGTAAAAATATCAAATGCTTTCGGACTTACTGGATATTGAGCACTTAGATGAGTTACTAAAAATCCACCATGTGAACCTCCAACTAGCCCCACTTTTTCTGGATTTAGCCATGGATATTTCCGTAAAGCTTCTTTCGTAGCAATTACACAATCTTTTACGTCAACGTCTCCAACTTTTCCTTGAAGATATTCAACATTTTTAGAACCCATACCCGTTGAACCACGATAGTTAACTTGTACCACAGCTAAACCTTAAACGAAAGATTGTTATAAATTTAATTAATCAAATTATTAAAATAAATTATCGAACGAAGATCGGTAAATTTATATGAATGAATGTATATTAAAGTTGAAAATTTACCTGACAGTACAAATAGAAAATAATTCAGTATAAATAGATTTTCATAATTAACATGGGGTCCACCATGTGGTACAATTACAAAAGGTACAGATTTGTTGTTTCCAACTTTTGGTCCAAAATAAATGAAATTGAAGTGTTCTAAAATTAGTTAATAGTTAAGCATATTTAATTGAAAACGTCTATTCAGTACTTCGTAATTATTGTAATCCTAAATGACTTACTAATTTCATCATCGTTATCGTAATCATATTCGGAGAACTCGTACATTAAATTTTCAGATTCAGGAATAGTCGCCGAAGTTGAAATTTTACTTCTTGCGATATTACCATTATTAACTACTTCTAAATTAAATCTTCCTATTGTAAGAACAGAAGGCTCCATAATAGATGACTCCAAAAATGCAATAACGTCATTTTTCACGTCCAAAACAACGAGGCTACTTTTATCATTCTGAATCTCAGTTATGGTTTTTGTTTCTGTAAACAACATATTTATTATTCATAATTATAACGAATAACAAAATTTTGTTAAGAGTACGTGTGTACTTTGTCAAATATTTACTTATATCGACGATGTAAGAACGTGTATTATTCTGCTGTGGTGAACTTAAAAATATGTACTGTGAATCGCTGCTCCAACATCGACGAGGTAAACGGCCATAAAAACCGTAAAATTGTTCAGAATTTTTAATAGATATACATGTATGCACTATATCTACAAGTACGTCAGCCTGAGTGGAAATAAATTATATAAGTTTAAATAGACAAATATTGTACATATTGATACATCGATATAAGGCTACCTCCGGCTTTTCAGAATTGAAATCAAGATGCATCAATCTGTGAGCATTGTGATGTGCTCCACCGGCTGCTCTTTCCAACCAGATTAAGTGTTTTCCATCAGGGCTGAATCTAGGACAACGAACAGCGCACCCATCACTGGAGAGTTTTTCTAAAAAATACACATATCGTCACATCTTTATGTATGTGACTTTTGTTTCGCTTCATATATTTCAAGAGTGGTTTATCAGAAAATTATGAAATTTGACATAGCATCTCGAATTACTATTGTAATATAGGTAACTATTGGATCTCGGAACGATAGCAACAGTCTGCCTTTGACACCTGCTCTTAGTGTCGTCGTATAATAAACGGAACACCTCTACAACATTTTCAACAGTAAAACAAAATCTGTTAGTTGAACCATATTGATTTGAGATTTTTAAAGAGTAGTGCAATTTGTGATTTTTGTGACAGCTTCCAAATATGCAGAGGAGCATACCCCCTTAGATGAGAGCATTGATTCATTTTGTTTCCAGTCGGCATGTGTTCCATCGCCATCTCATTCTTCCCTTCTTCTCATGAAAGGACAATGTTAAGTCATAGAGGGGTTTACTGACCCAAGAGCGTACAGCATATGCTATACACCGTTGGAAAGGTCTCGCCAAGGCGAATCGACTGATACCATTTTTAACTTCGATATCAGATGGGATAATGTCGAAAAATGGCCTCAAAGTTCGAGATTTTGCGGTTTTGAACAAAAGAAACCGGTAGTAAAAGCCCATCCGACCCGAGGGACCTCGGGTAGGCACCTGAGGAAAAACCGAGGGGTGTAAGCGATACTCTAGCAGATTGGGACGGCAAATGTGCCCCACCACATTCATTTCAATGCCGTGTTGGGCCTGCGTTTGCCGCATGGGCCCCGTTCCAAATGCCCAGGGCGAAATCGCCAATGGATCAGTTGTTTTTCATGAACATAATATATTCATGGTAGACAATTCGCAGGTATAAGTTGGGAATGTGCAGGTTAGTATTCAGACTAATGCGTCACTTACAATAGTGAATGGAGTGACATTTTATTGATTGAACGAAACATAATGATGTGAATACTGAATACTAACCTGCACATTCCCAACTCATACCTGCGAATCGTCTATCATGAATATATTATGTTCATGAAAAACAACTGATCCATTGGCGATTTCGCCCTGGGCATTTGGAACGGGGCGTATGCGACAAACGCAGGCCCAACACGGCACTGAAATGAATGTGGTGGGGCACATTTGCCGTCCCAATCTGCTAGAGTATCGCTTACACCCCTCGGTTTTTCCTCAGGTGCCTACCCGAGGTCCCTCGGGTCGGATGGGCTTTTACTACCGGTTTCTTTTGTTCAAAACCGCAAAATCTCGAACTTTGAGGCCATTTTTCGACATTATCCCATCTGATATCGAAGTTAAAAATGGTATCAGTCGATTCGCCTTGGCGAGACCTTTCCAACGGTGTATAGCATATGCTGTACGCTCTTGGGTCAGTAAACCCCTCTATGACTTAACATTGTCCTTTGATATAGTGACTTCTACATACTAAGTATTGCTATTGTAACTCCCACTGCTCAACATGTGCATGATTATACAGTAAGGAGCAAAACTGAACACATATACGACATTTTAACAAAAATAATTCTTTGTTCAATATTTGCATATTAAAATATGTTGAACTTTGGCGCTAATCCATGGGTTATTGCGCAGGTGCGTTTCCCACAGACACCGCCTCGAAACGAGTGGCTTTTATCCGGTTTATTCGCGGCTGTGGCGTGGCTTTTGAGGAACCCCCTTTCTTGTCGTAGCGTCCGACGGAGGAACACGCGCTGTTTCGGAAAGAACCACGATTTGTACCGCGCGCGTAGTGAAACGCGTTTTGTACGCGTAGTTTGTATTATCACATTGTTCCACAATAAACACATTAAAATCTAACAGAATACAAAAAAGACAAAATACTTAGTATTATCTACAATCTTCTGGTTATTCAAAACAAATTTAACATTTGTGATATCATTATTATTTCGTTTCGTACAATTTTTGTTCGTGTAGTCAGTTTTGTACCGCAACTAATTTTGAGTAAACATTTCGGATTTTGGTACACTTAATATTTCGTTCATAAACCTTTTTTAACCTTGACAATTGCTTCAACACGGTTAGACATACTTAATACTACATTTTCGTGATACTCTGGTGTAATAGAATACCATTGTTCTTGCTCTCTATGCCACAAACCAGTTATCGTTGTTGAGGGAGCACCATATTTATTTTCCAACTTCCGTTGAAAATAATTATTGTTTTCCATTGCTCCATCCAATTTAGATGGTTTTTTTAAAAAATTCAGTCAGGCCTTGACATTCTTTTTTGATAGGGCAGGCATTTTTTCTTCTCAATTGCTGTAAAATTGACTTCTTTTAATACTCTTCGAGCTGCCCACTTACTAGTTTCCTTTGCAATATCGCTTTCTAATAGCTTTGCAGACATTGATGCTATTGTTGCAATTTTTGAAGTAACGTATCTTGTCAATCTTCTCTTGTTTTGACAAGATAATAATTTTGGATGGCCTCCAAAAGATGCAGGGACTTCATTACATTTTCTCTGTATTTTATGGTCAACTTCCCGACTAACAGCAAATTTTCTAATAATTACTTGCGTTGGCAAACTCAATTTTGATTGGAAAATGATATTATTCTTCGTATATTTAAATAATGGTTTCATGATGTTATATTAATGCGATTCCATTGCACCAGAGTATTGCAAAAATGTAGTATTAAGTATGTTTAAACGTATTGAAGCAATTATCAAGGTCAAAGGTTTATGGACGAAATATTAAATGTACCAAAATCTGAAATGTTTACTAAAAATTGATCATGGTGCAAAATAATGATATCACAAATATTACATTTTTTTTTAAAAGCCAAAAGATTGTAAATAATATTAAGTATTTTGTTTCTTTTATATTCTACATGCAAATATTGAATGAAAATTTATTTTTGTTAAAATGTTGTATATGACTCGTGCTGTGTTCTGTCCTTTGCTATGCCCACTTCAGTACATTTCATATTATATGCACATGTACCCATGTATCATTTCACGTATGTACATATATTTAATTACACATGCTTTAATGATTTCTTATTTTATTTTGTGTATTTTTTAAAACGTTGATATTATATTACAGATTGTGACTATGATTTCACAAGTTTCAAGGTTCGCAGTGCAAAACTGAATAAAAATATTACTTTTGTTAAAATTTATTCAATAATTTCTCTGTTCTGATTAAAAAAAACATAAGTATTTAAATTTTTTGGTCACGATCAACTTGTTTAAAGGATTACTAGATTCTCAGCGGTTGTATAACATCTTTCAAAAGCAATTGATGTTGGATTTTCATTTTTTTTAAATCTAGAACCTTGAAATGTATAAAACCATGACCTCGATCTAAAAATTAATATCAATGTTCTAATATTTGATTAACAATTTTGAAATAATAATAATCGAATTAAAATAGTTCAAATTACACTTACATTTAAATATATGCAAAACACATATGGTACACGTATATTTAAATATCAGTGAAATAAGAATCTTTACTAGAAAACAAGAAAATTTAATACATTCTAATTTGATACAGAAAAAGTTCTGCAATAACGTTGTCAGCTTCTTAAATAAATAATTAGAATTGCAATTGCTACGAACTGCGAGGAAGTAAGAACAGAAAATTGAAAAATAAGTACAGTAGTATCTTGGATATTGACTAACATTCGGGACCGAAACTGTCAAAGGAGTTTGCTTCAAAACAGCGGACAGTGCGGACGTGTTTATGTTTACATGAGCACGCGAGTGTCCTTCTATTGCGCGTAATAAGTTTCCTGTGTTCAAGTTAAACATATAGTGACTCGTTAGCGGTGTGCTTCTGATATAAAACCGTCATTTTAGTGCTCGTAGAAGCACTTAAATAGTTTGATAGCTTCTGACTATGGCAGTCGTCAAAATACTCAAGACTCAACGACTGTTTCAACAATGAATCGCCCAAACCAACAAGCATTTACCTATGCGTCTGCTGTTCAAGCTACTACCTTTTCAACCAAAGATCAAGCAATTGTTATTGATGCTATGGAAAGTATCACTATAAAAGAATTCGTTACAGCAATAGGATCACTGATTAACCCATCGAATATCAGATTTGTTTCCAGAATTTCTAAAAATAGAGTTTGTATGTATTTGGCAAGTCAAGAAATAGCAAATAAGTTCACAGAGAATAATGAAATAATCCAAATTGGTAACACGCTCCTAAAAATGCGACCATTCCACATCACATTTTGGAGCAACAACTAACAAACCTCAATATTAGACTAGGATCATCTATCACCTTCTTGCGAGCAGGACTATCTGATGTGGGTTTCGCTCATGTTATAAGTTTCCGCAGTCAAGTATACGTACATCCCGACGATGCAAATAAACTTCCTGAGTCCATGTAAATAGTATATGAGGACACTACCTTCTGGATTTACGTATTTACCGATGTTGTAACCTGCTTCAACTGCAAGCAATCTGGACATCTTGCTGAGGACTGTACAGAGAGTAATACAGTTATAAATAACAACTTAAACTCTATTGAACTAAGTCAGAATAATGTTCAAACCCAATCCTTGGTACCTCTATCACAGCCACCAGGCAATATTAATAATGACTTTAAATTCCCTGACAAAGCTCCTCGAAATTATAAAAGACCATTATCAACGTCGAGTTCCAGTGTAAATATAACTTCACAAATATCAAATAATAAAACAGATTGTAACCTTACCTCGGATGATTCCTCCAATGAGAAAAACGACAAAGAAGCTAAAATGAAACCTTTCAAGAAGAAGAAATCTAGAATAGATAATCCTGGAAATGCTGACAACCTTGTACATGACTCTATTGATAAACTCCTATCTCCACTAAAGGAACACCTTACCAAAAATAAGAATCTGCATCAATTAAGTTACTTACAACTAAAACGCTTTATAGAAAAGACTAAAGGATGCAGTGGTATTAAAGAAATATGTCATGAATTCTCTGATAATACTGATACAATCATCTTTACTCTTCGTAACACCTACCCTCTCCTTACGGATAGAAGCATCAAGAATAAATATACCAGACTCATTAAAAAACTGACACTACTATCAAAGGATATAGAAGACCCCTCCGATGGCAGTATTGATGAATATACTTAGAAGATAGAAGCAAAGAACAATCAGCATAACTCATTAGAGGTTCAACTCCATCATGTCCACCTATCATCACAAGGATTTGAAGATACTATTTTCGAAGGAGAAGGACTTCCCAACATCCTCATGAATCTAGACATCCTGGTATGCGTAGAATCTTGGCTCTCGAAAGAAACACAAATGAATAAGGAATTTCACTTCGCTGGCTTCAGGACCTTCAGGAAAGATCGTCTGTACTCCAGAGGGGGTGGTATTCTTATTCTAATTTGCAACAACTTAGCCTACATGGAACTTCAAAATCTAAAGTGTTCTGATCAATCTGTAGAACTAGCTGGCATAAAAATTACTAACGTAAACCCCCCAACCGATATATTTGTATGTTATAGAGCTTTCCATTTAACACTCTCACAATCTCAGTGGGACGAAATCTTCAGCCAGGTCGATAAAAGCCAATATGCAATACTGATGGACGACTTTAACGCCCATCATACAAGTTGGAATTGCAATACCAATGATACTAACGGCGAAAGACTTCTCAATAGTTATATCAAATCAGACTTATTTCTTCATAATTCAAAATCTACTACCTATATTTAATATTATAATGATATTAGGTCCAATTTAGATCTTATATTCTCATCAGAAAATATAGCTTACAAGATCAATGTACAAGCAAACGATGAAACTTGGGACTCCGATCATTACCCCATATTTATAACAATATCCACAAAAAAAAGTATATATCACAAGAAATCCATTAGATTAAAATCATTAAGAACCAAGAAGAAAATTACGATTAATTTTTGGCAATAGACTATGACCTTCTAACCGCCAGTGATAAGTATTCCATTTTTACTAACATATTAACAAATGCTGTAATAGCTAACACACCAAAAAAAGAAATCGTTAATGACAGAATTCATCGAAATCCGGTACCATGGTGGGATCCGGAGTGCGATAAAGTCAAAAGGCTTAGAAAAGCAGCTTTTAAAAAATGGCAATTTACTAAAGACTGTAATGACTACATAGAGTATAAGAAATTTTCGGCTCTGGCTAGAAAAACTTAGAAAAAAAAAAAAAAACTACCAAAGTTCAAGGGAGATGAATCTTCCAAGGAATCTAATAGGTCCCTTTTTTTAGAAAGTGAGTGAAATAAGGATGCATAAGAAGGCACATCGATATCTTACAGATTTAAAAACATAAACATACTTGGTTGCAGAGACAAGCGGGAAGATAGTTCCAAGAACTGGTGAGAATAGCAGTTAACCAATTTTCAAGGCATTACTACATACATATAACATGTTTCTTACTGTATTCTGCATCTTTCAATAAGAATATCCAGGAAAGCCTATTCGTGCAGGCAACAAGACCTAAATGTCTTGGTTCGTGTTTCCATGCTACACCCACTATATCTTGATTGTTTTTTGCCCATAATACTTGAGCAGATGAAAGTTCATCCGGTATGCCTGAGAGAATTGAAATTGTGTCTGTTGTCGTATCGAGAATTGCGACAACTGGACGATGTTTACCTACCAACTGTTCTCCCCAATGTGGTTTGTAAACATACTCGTTACCCTGTTTCAATTATTTCATTGAGTAAAGTTTAAAATATTTCCACTACATTCATATTATAGGAAACAACATATCTCACCACAGATACTTCATCTTCGTCTTTTGATTCTTTTTTATTAAGAGGCTTTTGCTTGTAAAATGGTGCTGACTTTGGCAGTTTTTTTTCTGCTATGTATAAAACCTTTGTCTTATCTGGAGACCATTCGAAAGAAGCAAATTCAGCTGTTAATAAAAAATAGAACATGTAAGTATTTGAGCAATAGTAACCGATTGTTGGATAATTATTATATCTGTAAAAATTTGAGCCAATTTGAGCCAAGAAATACAAATTTATTAATCTATGATGAAAGTCTGCTTTAGAATTACTATTCTAAAATATTATAGATGAGAAAACTTTGTCCAATTGATTATTCTCTTGTCGAATTTCTAATAAATTGTTCTGAAGAAGATTTTCATCATAGATTGAAACGTCAATCAATAAATCTTTGTTCCTGCATTGTTCTTGCAACTATAACGAGTTATTAGTTTCTTTAACAAATTGGTTTAAATTTTATATTATCGAGCAAAGTAATTACTATATATTAACTGTACAAACTTGAAATTATAAATAATTACAATCTGTATATACATCTCCATGTACATCGAAAGCAGTTAAATCATAATTTTTCAGTAGTCTCTGCTTATCCCAGATTTCAATAAATTGTTTTGATGTGTTCTCAATAGTCGCTTGCCTTAGTACAGCTCTACGTTGTTCGTCTTCGGTAGACACAGACAGAAGTCTTTGAGAGAAAAGTTATTTATAAAACATATGTTTTATACATATAATAAATTCTACTTTTAAGGTAGATATGCAACGTACTCTGTTGTAACATCAATAGGAAAATTTTCAGATAAAAGTAACAATTCAGAATCTAAAATATGATTCTGACAAAACTTTTGATTTGTTTTCCTCTCCAAATTTTTCTGAGACCACACGCTTGAAATTAATATTCCATTGCTGGTTGCTCGAAGAATCTTTGCACCGCTCAATGATGGATTTTGTGCTAATGTTTTATACAATTTGACAATTTTTTCAATCTACAAACATTAATATTCGTATTTTATTTAAATTACTATTAAAATATTAAATATTACAGAATATTAAAAACGTTTATATCATCAAACTATTTATGAAATAAAAATAATATATTAAATTTTTAAATAGTATATCAAAGTTTTCTGTACCTGACTTGATGCCATTTTATATACAACTGTTTAGTTCACACTTCTCAGGTTTGGTTATCAAAAAGCAATGAATATGCTATAAAAAAAATTAAAAGCTTGATAAGAAACAAACATTGATAAGATGTGCAAATCATAAAGTATGCCCTAAATTCATGAGAATAATTCAACACGTTACCTTAACAGTACATAATATTGCTTTAAAGTCGAATTGAGGTTACTTTTTAGAATTATCGTTAGATATTCTTATTTTCATAGTATATTTGTTATATTTATTTACTTTGGCGAAGATATTAATTATTCACACAGTAAAAACATAAAATTGAACAAATTATATCTGTTATTATTATTTTATTTTTAAGTGTCGATGAGATTGTATCGACACGATATTTCGTTGGACGGTAACTTGTTTATTTGTGTATTCAAATTTTTACACATTTTTATGTATTAATTTATATAATTTTATTTAGAAGCATTATACGTTGAAGAATTGTTGGAAATTAGTAGTACATACTACTTTTTTTGTTTTGAATTTCAAATTGCTAAGTTGGTAACAACGATTGAAAAAAAGAATAGCCCTCGGCGCCTTCTTTCGAAAGGTTTTGTTAAATGTTCAATAATTTATTTAATAAAAATCACTATTCAGTTCATAATTTAAAATTTTATAACATTCAGTTTAAAAATTTTAAAGTACATAACCATGATATCAATTTTTTTAAAGCAGTTCTTTATTTTACAGTAATTTCCAGTACTTATAACAATATCAATACAATAACTGTGACTTTTCCTTATCGGTTAAGCAAAGTCTGCAAAAACATTATGGGAACAAGAAGGAAAGGTTTATTTACAATCTATAATTTTACAGGCGTATCTAAGATACATCTATGACTCTTCATATTACGTATGTACAGTTTGCAACAATGACACAAGGCCTTAATAACTTTAGCGTAAAGCACATCTATAAAAATCCTTATAAAAATAATTTTAAATCGCGTTATACTTAAATGGAAAACTTGTTTATGTAGTTCGAATGAATACAAAATGAAATATTATCGACATATAAATATACTTCTTTTTTTCGACTTTTCTTCGATGTTGTATTACAATAACAATAAACGTTTGAAAAGATACATGACTCTTACGAAGTAGTTTAGAATATTAATCACATAAATGTTTTTAAACTAATAATCGTTTCCTAAAATACTACTGTACGTTATAAAGTCTTCAAACTGAATTTTCGACGGATCACTAGATTTTAAGTTTGCAAATAATATACTTATCAAAACTTTTCGACCAAAAGTATGTTGCGAGATGCTTCCTTTTAAGAAAATGCGCTAATCTTTACAATCTAAGTTGAAATTACCGTATAAATTAATATACATACATATACAAATTATGTTTAATTGTACTTATTCGAATATCAGTCGTGTGTTTGTTAAAACTCATCTATCGCTCGTTATAAGTTTCCGAAATCTAGTATTAAACGCCTACGAAACTAAAAAACCGATTCCAAAAAGTACCTATCTTCATCGTCAGTTATTCCCCTAACAATTAAAAATATTAGACGCATGCTATGTAAAAATACAATTGTTTCAACGATTAAAAAAATTGAAGCTTGCCTTTTATGCGTTCATTAACGTCGCCATTTTTAGTATAAAATAGACTTCGTCTGTGGAAATACATGTCCGTAAATAATTCTCAATTAGGCTTCGAGAAACGCAATTAAAAATAATATATCAAAACCTTTTAATAGTAAAACACGCACAAATAACGTTACCATCGATCGTGTATTTAATGTGCTTATTAATTGCATTTCGTACGAATAGAAACCAATGTAACATTCGTTTAACCCCTTGCGCTAGAGTGACATGTTACGTACGTCAATGATCGTTTGTTTCAAAAGTGAGAATAAAGTGCATGGCGAGTCAACTTTATTGAAAACTTTATTTGAACACAGTGTCGTCCTTCCACGAGAATAAGGCACAGCGTGTTACATCCCCACTCCTGCTGCAGTCCGCTGACTCACAGATATTGGTCGAAAACGGTGACGAAGATCGGTGACAGCCAATCAGCGGACTGCAGCAAGAGTGGGGATGTAAACACGCTGTGCCTTATTCTCGTGGAAGGACGATACGTCGTGTAGTGAACGAGCGATGCGTTACAATCTTGCACAGAATTGCGTGCATTTATTGTAAAGTTTTCTCAGTTTCTTACCCATTTAACATAATATACAGGGTGTTCGGTCATCCCTGGGAAAAATTTTAATGAGAAATTCTAGAGGCCAAAATAAGACAAAAATCAAGAATATTAATTTCTTGACTGATTGTGAGGCTTCGTTAAAAAGTTATTAAAAAATTTCAAATCATTATGAAAAAATTATTTTTAGTTGCGGGGGTCGATTACAATTATTTTTGGTGAATAGACATATCGCCAAAATTCTACGCACTTTCAAGAAAAAAATTCGAGTAGAAGCCTAAATTTTTCGGCGAATAACAAAAATTTCAAATCATTCCGAAAAAATTATTATCAGTTGTGGGGGCCAATTACAATCATTTTTGGTGAATAGACATACCCCCGAAATCCTGCGCATTTTCGAGAAAAAAATTCAGTACGGGCGGAACTTTAAACGTTAATAACTTTTTAACAAAACCTCCATCAACAAATTGGTATTCTTGATTTTCGTCTTATTTTGGCTTCTAGAATCCCCCATTAAAATTTTCCAAGGGGTGGTTGAACGCCCTGTATATAAAACAGTACCAATTAATAAAATAATTTCCAAATGCCATTATATGTATGTCATGTCACTGATATTATGATTCAAGACATTTCTTAAAAGTATTTCATTTGCAAAAGCTAAAAACAAAAAAGCAATAAAACTGAAAATGCAAGAGATATCTCACTCTATTTTGTCCGTATTTCACGTCGCTTTTAAGTTTATCATCCTGTATAAAATTGTTAATGAACAGATTTATTGTACACGTCTGTCTAGAATTGATATAAAAATAATTTATTTCATGTTTTTCTGATTTCAAGTCATGGCTCGTTTCGAATTAATATGAATGGTTTGGTTATCTGCGAATCAATTCCAGGGCAAGTGGTTAACGCGCTGTACCAATGCGATAAAATGTCTTATGAATAAAAACGCATTACTTCTTTTTTTGTTTTATCAAAATTAACGATTCAACGACGCAGAATAACGATTCGAGTTAAATCTACGGAACGTTCAGATCGATAAATCCTATGTGAAATCAGTAAATTGAATCAAGGCAATTGTTTGTGATTCCATTAAGGCATAGCGAGGCTCGGGCACTTTCGATTCACGGTTTTCCCTCTTAATTGCCAAACAATGCCGCTTTCTGCCTAAATTGTGCTCGCCTCGCCGCTTTTTCTTCCTCTTCTCGTTTTCGTTCCTCCTGCTCCATTCGAATTTCGTCTTCGAACTTGCTCGTTTTACGTAGCTGCTCGATCTGTAAAAACGAAATTGATGCACAGGAAACATTAATTGGCACGGATACGCTTTCGCGAATCCTGAATCCGCTATGCACACGGATACTAGAATAAAGTCATTCATAGTTTCACTCGTTCGTTATACCATTACAGCATTTCATGCTGCGTGGGTTATCAGTGATTCACGGAAGATTTTTATTAGTTCTACTATCGAGGACGATTTTTGCTATCGGTACGGGCAACACAAGTATTCATCATACCATGAGGATCTTTTTTTCAGTTGATATTTTTCCGTTAAAAATCAATGTTTCTCAAGGATCTTTTTTTGGATCTAGTTGATATTTTTGATTCCAAAATCGAAGTTTCCATTGTTATCGTGTGTAAAGCAAATGATTATTCTATCTTGTATCATCGGTGATTCACGGGAGATTTTTATTAGTTTTACTATCGAGAACGATTTTTGCTATCGCTACGGGCAACGCAAATATTTATCATACCAAGAGATTTTTTTTGCAATCAATATTTTTGCGTTTAAAATCAATGTGTTCACGAAGGATCTTTTTTTGGATCTAGTTGATATTTTTGATTCCATAATAGAAGTTTCCATTGTTATCGTGTGTAAAGCAAATGATTATTCTATCGTGTATCACCGGTGATTCGCGGAAGATTTTTATTAGTTTTTGTGAGCAATTGGGTGTGTTCACACGACGATTGCACGGACATTTTGCGAACGCGCCTTGCCGGTGCTTACTCGTATTCGTAAAGGGTTTAACCTCGTCTGTTCCTTTTACTGTTTTTAACAACTGTTTATCCAACAGTACGTGTTACATGTCGAGTCTCCAACGAGCTGTTCTATATTTGTGGCGTGTATTAGATCGAGCACTTAATAAATATTTCCTTAACTGTTTTTACTAACCAACACTTTTGTTGAATAATATCAGATCCCCTTGTGTAGGAACTGATTAAATAAATATATATAGACAATGTTAAAATGTTGAACACAACCACCTTAATTATTCCTTAACCTCTTCACGCCCTTGGCCACATATGCGAACATTTAGTTTTTTTTTATAATTATAGTTACTGTCAATAATAAATAGACAAAAAAAAAAATCGTCCCTGAAGAGGTTGAGTATTACATAGTTTAATGTAAGAATTTACACGAACAAATGCCACGGGAATCCCCGCACAATCTTTAACCTTATTATAGGTGGCGCCATTTGGCCGAGTGCTTATTGCCGCGAGATTATGAACGGCTTAACAAGTTTTACTATCAAGAACGATTTTTCCCATCGGTACGTGCAACGCAAATATTTATCATACGAAGAGAATTTTTTTTTCGGTCGATATTTTTGCGTTTAAAATCAATGTTTTCGCGAAGGATCTTTTCTTGGGTCTAGTTGATATTTTTGTTACCAAAATAGAAGTTTCCATTGTTATCGTGTGTAAAGCAAATGATTATTCTATCGTGTATCATCGGTGATTCACGGAAGATTTTTATTAGTTTTACTATCAAGAACGATTTTTCCTATCGGTACGGGCAATGCAAATATTTAAAGATCAATGTTTTCACGAAGGATCTTTTTTTCAATCTAGTTGATATTTTTCATTCCAAAATAGAAGTTTTCATTTTTTTTGAAAATGGACGAACTTATAATGTACTTCGACGAATTGTCTGAAAGGCACAGACGCGAAATCAGTTCGTTGGAACATGATGAAACCGAGCTCAATGCTTTCATTAGTCATTTGACTGAGGAAATTGGCGAATATGAGGACAGACTGAAAAGAACAGTCGTAGAGAGCGACGAAAAAGTAAGCAAGACTAATATACGTAACATACAAAACGTATTGCATCTTCTGTGTTTGAGAGCCTAACGTAAGCTTGTTAATGTAGTTGAATAGTATGATCAAAGAAACGAAGGTTGCCGCGGAAGAAAAAACGAGATTAACCGTAGAAAGGTACAAAGCATGTTTAGCACGAGTAGAAACGAAACGAACAGCTTTAGACAATAAGCAAATAATTATTCTATCGCGTATCATCGGTGATTCACGAAGGACGTTCCTTTCGACTGTCTTGATATTTGACTTTTAAGAGTGGTTTTCACTATTATCATGTATACTTCAAATGTCTATCATACAATGAGTCATCGATGTCTTACGGAGGAATACACACTTTGTATCGGTAGATATTTTGGTCAAGAGATGATTATTTCATCGTTTTTGACAAACGACGATCGTGTTTTGAATTACACGCGTAGTTCGTATGTAAAATTTTGGTGCCAGAACTGGTTTTCGCGACTTAGCGAAATTTCAGTTTTACAAAACTATTTATACCTTGGCCTCGAAGAAGTGTTTGGCCCCTGTCACTCCCACCTCGTCTACGTCTACTTCTGTAAGACGGGCTAGCTGGCCCAAACCAGAATCCTGCTCTAATTCACCAGCACGTGCCTTGCGGTAGATCAGTAGAAACTGTAACAGGCCACAAACCACACATGTTAACAGATAACATCAAATGATTAAGTCTTACGGGTCTGTTCAATTGCATCTTGAGACTGCCAACCGCTTTTCACTTTCTGTTTGGTAGCTACGTCGGTAATTATTTTTTTTTTTTATTAAACATTTGAAACCATACATACAGTTGCGGACAGAATTAAGTGGACAGATAAAGGAAATAAGTATAAATTAAATGTAACCAAAGTAGTATAACTATTATACACTTAAGTTTTATACAGGGTGTTCGGCCATCCCTGGGAAAAATTTTAATGGGAGATACTAGAGGCCAAAATAAGACAAAAATCAAGAATATCAATTTGTTGATGGAGGTTTCGTTAAAAGGTTATTAACGTTTAAAATTCCGCTCGTACTGCATTTTTTTCTCGAAAATGCGCAGGATTTTGAGGGTATGTCTATTCACCAATAATGGTTGTAATTGACCCCCGCAATCGAAAATAATTTTTTTAGAACGATTTGAAATTTTTTTTTTCACCGAAAAATTTGTCCACTTACTGAATTTTTTTCTCGAAAGTGCATAAGATTTTGGGAGTATGTCTATTCACCAAAAATGATTGTAATTGAGCCCCGCAATCGAACATAATTTTTCCAGAGCGATTCGAAATTTTTTTTTCGCCAAGCACCTACCCCCCTTGTCAATTTTTCTTAAAAATTCGTTTTTCATTTTTAATAATTTTGTTTGACGCTCTATAGAAAAGTTGTCTAATACTTTTTTGTATGTACCCATGAGCTCTACTTCAGAAAAAAGTTTCATTGAAATATATTTACTATTGTAGAAGTTATGGCTGTTTGAAAATTGGACCATTTTTATGGGGTTTTTCTAATTTTACGGGGTCAAGGAACAACTTTTTCAATATTGTTAGAATTCCTACATATTCTTCACCAAAATACGCTTTGTTTGTCGTTTGAAACATTAAAATCTTCCAATCCGTTCAGAAGTTATGACATTTTAAATATACGCAAGAAACTTTGGAGTGACATTTCTGGTCCAGAGTGGCATTTTCGGTAAGGAATTTTTCTCTCGAAAATGGTTAGGATTTCGAGGGTATGTCTGCTGACCAAAAATGATTGTAAGTGATCCTCGCAACTAAAAATATTTTTTTCGGAATGAGTTGAAAATTTTTAATAACTTTTTAACGAAACCTTAATCGAGAAATTGATATTCTTGATTTTCGTCTTATTTTGGCCTCTAGAATCTCCCATTAAAATTTTGCCCATGGGTGCCCGAACACCCTGTATATGATTTCAGATTGTGCGAATTTAACATCTTAGAAGCGATATTCACAACTAATCTACTGTATGAAAATAATTAGTCAATTAGAATTGTATTAACGTTAAAATTAGATTACTACGTTGTAAATAATTTTTATATTCAATTTATAGAAAAAGCTTTCATATTAATAAATCGATTAGTTAACCTGAAAATAAACAATCGTTAAGAAGCAATAGAAAAAACAATATAATCTACTGCCCGTTGAAAACAAAGATAGAAGAAATGTCAACAGACTGTCACGTGATTAAGCTTTCATTGGCTGACGTGTTCTGGTTAGGAGTGTAGCTATTGTAGTTGTGATATCCATCACATAGTGGGTCATAATATGATAAACAATTAAAAAATTAGACATGTTTCCTATTAAAACATTATTGCAAATGCTTTAAAAGGAACTAATAATAGTATTTTTTTTATATACGTGCACTTATATTTATACTCATATAAATTTTATTGTATCTACATATTTGGGGATTCACATTCTGCCAATACGCTTCTGTAGAAGTTCATGTTTTCATTCTCGCGCACTGTATTTTTATACTGAACTCGGAACGAGCCTATAATAACGTTTTAAAACTCCCTTGTTGTTATAATTGAACCAATATTGTATAAATAAAGTTTAGTGATTTTATTTTGATGAACAATTCTTTGTTATTAGAAAGCGAAACATAACATTTTGACCTTTTATAGAACCTATTCAGATATTCTAATACATGTTTCAAAGGTATTTCATAAAATTGACAAAAATTAATTAAAATTATAAGAAATTTAGTTCTTTTCATTGCTGAAACCAATTCGTACCAGAAATCACAAAAGAAATAAATTTTATATTTTCAGTATAATAGGTTATAATCAATTATTCTTAGAAGCGAAACATGTTTTCGTGCGTTTAGTTTTTTTTGTCCATTTCGTCGGATATAAGAGTATTTAGAATCTCGTCGAATTTCTTAGGAAATCTATTAACATTTTTTGGAATTCATATTAGTACATGTATGAAACTTAAATTCTTCGGAATTCGTATCATGAATCGATTAGGCAAATATTAGGTAGTGATTACTTTTGTGCAGATAGCAAACGATTTGCTATTACTGATCTAAAGTAATGATAGGATGACTAAAGAGGAAGGTGAGTATTGGTCACTATACCAAGCTCAGCGATGAATCACGGTAATCTGTGAACAGACGACCGATCGCATGCATGCAGATCGAACGCTTTGTTCGCGAACCACGAAAAGTCACGTAGGAACGCACGGCCATGCATTTGCATCAAGCCCTGTGGACTTTCTTTCGGTGTATATGCGTGTCTTTGCATCCGCGATTTATCTTTTCTTCAACAATGGACAAACATCGCATTCCCAGCGAAAGTTTCTTATGGCGCTAATGCAAATATGTATGTAAGCACTTCGTGCGATCAAATTTCTTAACCCTTCAAAGTTTCCATACGCACGTAAATACAGCTGCTATTTTTTATCTGATGTGTGTCATAAACCATCAAAAACTTACTTCATATTTTTCAGAACATGTTTAAAAACTACTTGAGGAACTTTTATGGCGTGCCTCACTAAAATAGAACACCATTGACCTCTACGAAGGTGCACACATGGAAAGTAAACACTGGCTATCGTCAGCTTGCGTACGAGTTCACGCTAAGCACCCCAGGGGGCAGACTATTTTTACGAAAGATACATCGCACGTGCGTTCATGTACCAAACGTCGCAGTCGATAAGACAAAAATAAAACATTTTAATCGTTCTTCAGCAACGGTCCTTTTGTTTTAGCAAAAAGTTCACCGATCTATGACGAAACGGCAATTTTTTAAGAAATATTATCTAGACATCTTTACAATTTAAACAAAAATTCAATTAACTTCGCGTGCATTCACGAAAATGGTTTTATTTACTTCGATTTCTTCTCCAAAAGTAGTTTCTGGCTAAGCTATATTTACTTTTAATTCTTTGACTGCTAAAAGTTAATAAAAGCTAAAAGACTACTCAGTCAATTGACTGTGTGTGTTAAACGCTTATGGGCGTTCAACCTGTGTATTGCTCAAGGCGTGAAAAAGTCTTCCGCACACAACTTGTGCTTGCAACAAAATCGTCCGTAGTCAAAGGGTTAAGTCCGAACATTATGAACGTAGTTTTCGCTAATAGGTACTGCAGTAATGGTTCTTAAGACGAATATCGATCCGGGTTTAGCATATTTATCTTTCTAACAGCAGAGGCGAAATTCAACACAAGCAGAGATTTATACACAGTGAGCGACATCGTTGAGCCTTGGAGTCGCCTTTATCTTTCGCCGGCGGCCGCAGTCGACAACCGAAGAAAAAGACAGCAAGTGAGAGCGAATGAGAAAAAAGCATTGTCTTTTATACAAATCGTCACCGGCATTCCAGCTCGTATCGTTTTTTAAATGTTATCTTTCACGCTTCACTGGCTCCAAGGGGGATCCCTCAGTTGGGAAAGATAGAAATGTTCAACTTGCGAATCACGTCTGTGGTTCATTTTAAGAATTATTACTGTATTTGTAAGTTATTGGACTTTGAAATGCTAACAAAAATTTGAAAAACTTTAAAAAATATCAAATAATAAAAATTTACTAGCTTAGATGAAGACAGATTGAATGTAAATAGTGTTGGTATATTCTCACATTGCATCGCGGTATTACTATTTAATATTTGTATCATAACTTTTGAATAAAGTTTTAAACGACATATCTTAACATAACATTTTTTTCTTATCCAGATCCAAAGAATCTGCCACTGATAGTAACCACAAAAATTGTAAATGTTTAGAATGTACTTTTCCTAAGGTTCAGTAAGATAGCATTATCATAAGATTGTTAGATGTCATGGCTCAATATTAGACAGAATTTTAACTTTTTTTTATAAAAAAGCAATTCATTTCTGAAGAGATCAAACGTGATGCAAAGAAAGTTACATTCTGATTAATAGAAATAAATATTTATTTTATGCATATTTTTTTACACAAACAATTTACTTCCTACTAATTTGTAATAACAATTCTTAATGCAAGAATTACATACAGGGTGTTCGGCCACCCCTGGTAAAAATTTTAATGGGGGATTCTAGAGGCCAAAATAAGATGAAAATCAAGAATACCAATTTGTTGATTGAGGCTTCGTTAAAAAGTTATTAACAATTAAATTCAAAAATTTCAAATCGTTCTGGAAAAATTATTTTCGGTTGCGGGAGTTAATTACAATCATTTTTGGTGAATAGACATACCCTCGAAATTCTACTCGCTTTCTAGAAAAAAATTCGAGGTGTGAAATTTTTCGACGGAAAAAAAAAATTTCAAATCGTTCTGGAAAAATTATTTTCAGTTGCAGGGGTCAATTACAATCATTTTTGGAGAATGAGACATACCCCCGATTCCTGCGCATTTTCGAGAAAAAAATTCAGTACGTCTGGAAATTTAAACGTTAATAACTTTTTAACAAAACCTCCATCAACAAATTGGTATTCTTGATTTTCGTCTTATTTTGGCCTCTAGAATCCACCATTAAAATTTTTCCCAGGGGTAGCCGAACACTCTGTATACTTTATCTAGAAAGGGCAAAAATACTCGATAAAGTATAAGTAAAAGGAAAAATTCACGTATTAATACTTCAGAATGTAAGTAAATAATTATTGTATATGACAAAATGTACATTTATTAAATTTATATATGACATATTAAATGTCATAAATGTAATTCATATTATTTACTAGTGGTTTTTAAGTTGATCCCATATTAAATGGATCGATTATATTTAAAGTTCAAATAATAAAACAATTGTTACGCAGGAAGTGAAATGAAACGGGACAAGTGCGCTGTTGAATTCTGCTCGTCCAGTGAAACTACAATGAGCCAACGAAAGTAGTCATCACGGTGCATATCAATTTCCGTTAATATAAAATCGTTGTATGAACAAAATTATTTCCTGCTTTTTATTGCACATTTCATTGTGGAGGAAGAAAAAATGGTCAGCAGTCTCGTGAGTTCATTGAAGTTTTTCGATAATTAACGATAATTAACACACAAAATCGCTAACCTCGCGGAAGGAGATGCGTCCATCGCCATCCTCGTCAACTTCCTGTATCATTGCTTTCAAACCGAGGTGAGTCTGCGGTGCTTCTAAAACTTCCATCATGCGTTTCAGCTCGGACAAATCGAGGAACCCATCGTGGCCATCATCGAACCTGCAAGTAATCAATATTTTAATTAAATACAATACACGTAACATGAAGCTCTTATTATTTTTGGTTGATCTTAATTTTTTTATAAACATTTATGGTAATTTTACAACTATTTTGTTTTAAACGTTTTGGCCATTAATGTATAATATTTTTAAATTATAGAATCATACATTTGAAACGTATCTGAAAGGATGTTTCAAAATTTAGAAAATTGTTAAAGCTACAGTGTGATTGTGATTACAATCGATATTTGTACAGGTGTTTATTTCTGCGTGGAAAATAAAATGGTGCGAACGGGCTACTGCAATCCTTTCTCGATCCCGATTCACTCTAAGCATTGCAAGGATACTAGACGTGTTACGGAAGCATTGCGAAGGAAGTTTCGAGTTCGATGAGTATATTTGCCAGTTAAGGCGTAGTCGTTTGCTTAATACGTCGGAAATTCTGAATACTCTTACAGAACCGTAACTTGAAGCTTCTAACAGTACTTTTGCGCCATTTCAGATTTCAGATGATAATGATGTTGATTTCGATGATGGTATGCATGAAACTGCGGTAAAATGTAATAAATCAACGTCTACCGAGTCATTAAATCAATTGCTTCGTATTTTGAACCAGTCACCAATAAATTCCATACATTTGCCATCGCGTGAATCCATAGTAAAGGCATTAAATCGCATGCAATTAACTGTAAACCAAAAATTAGTGGATAATTACGTTTATTTTCGCAAAGAAGTTTTACCTGAATTAAAAAGAAAGTGTAGTTCTTTAATAAATTACGATGGTCAATTGAATCTTTTAATCATTTTTCCAAAGTCCTGGAGTATTAAACAAATGATGTGTACAGTTGCATTAAGCACGTGGCAATTATGGCAAAAGAGTTGCATTTAGAAAAAGGTATTCTACCGTGTCCTTGGAACGTTCTTAGTAGAATCTGTGGTCCGATAATAATATAAAATGTAATTTATTCGGGTCTAATAAACCATAGAGCGAAATTACAGGGGTAGCGAAGAAGAGATGTTTTATAAAACTGTTTCGAAATCGTAGTCTGATAGTAATACAATAAGCACGAGAATTACCAGCGACCGCCTGGCGAGCTTCACTTGGGGGGTTCCCCTACAGTCGACCAGTATTGGAACGTAAAGCGCCATCGTGCGGACACATGCGCGCCACAGAATCATATTCGGGGAAAAAGATTTCATTTCTGTTAACACTTTCACTGCCACGTCATCCATATATGAGTGACATGATTTACTATTATGATACTAGAAAAGTTAATTCTCAAGTTAAGACGTTAGGGGAAATAAATTTGAATAGAATTTATGAATTTTATATTGTGAATTTTTTAACAAGGTTACGAAAATAAGTACTGAAACAAATTTTAGGTTATGTAGCTTACAATGGTCTAAAATCAAAATTTTACTTGTGCAGAATATTATACGGTTTTGATCTGGCAGTGAACGTGTTAAAAGACATAAAAATGTATAATAATTAACTCAACGCTCGAAACTTACACTTATCGACATTTTCAAGACTTAAAACCTCCAAGGACAATCAAGCCTTTCAAGACAATCCGGACTTTCAAGAGTTTCTTAACATCGGATCAGTTTCAAATCCACGTTGTAATAAGATTCAAAGTCCCATCAGTATTAAGAACTCTCTGTGTGTTGGCTCCCACAAGATTTGTGGAGCCGAGTCATGTAGTAAATAGATAAGTACTATAACTATTTACAAACACCTTAAATTTATTAACAAAATATATATACAAAGAAAACGTGTTAACAATGGTTCGTAAAGCTCTTGAAGTCTACTTTGTTCAAACTTGCATTCTCTTGTATACTCTGGTAATTGTTCACTTGTAACTTGTAACTTGTAACTGAGTTTTATTGTAATTGTAACTTGTAACTTGTAACTTTCTCTGACTGTAACTTGTAAGTGTTCTATGTATCAGTCACTTGTAACTTGTAACTTGTAACTTGCTCTGTTCTATAATAACTCGTAAGTGTTCTGACTGTAACTGAGTTCGTCCAATTCTGTGTTGATTATATACAGTGTTCAAAAATAGGAGAAGATTCTATTAACAAATCAGAAGTTGCCCATCCTTTGTGGGCCTCCTGAGCCTCCAAATCCCACCCACTGAGGGTTGTAAGGGGGTGGGCATCCATGGTCCCAAGGGGCAAGTAAATGGGCCCAAATTACCCTTTGAAACTAATTAATTATGTTGAATGGCTTAATGGCTTTAGGGTACGGCAATTCCTATTCTCAAAAAAGGTATATTTGCCAGATGACCAAATTAAGTAATTTAAGTAATATTGAAAATAAATGACATGTCCTATAATATAAAATGTTTGGAATTCCAAACACTGTGCCTAATATGGCGCCCAGGGGTACGCGAGCCTCTTTGCTTTTGCCTTATCACATTATTGGAATTCTAGCTTCTAGAAGAGTTCGTTAAAAGAGTTAGACGCTGCGGAGACGTTAATAACGTTTCGCCTTATTTGACGTCAGTGGAAATTCTCGGGCAGAAGTCAGTCGAAGTGAATTCCGAGATTCGATCTTATCGAGTGATGCGCTTCGTTGAATCGATAGCCACGACGTAACACTCTCGAAAGCAATTCGCTGGTTGGCTATCGGAATCGTTTACACGGAAAGTCGATTTCACGAGCTTCCGGCTTACAGGCGCACCGCAACACACCGTTGACATTCTCCGTGACTTTCGAAATCGGTGTGTATAGTCGATCGTTCTCACGTTCCTTCTTTCGATATAAATTTCATTATCCGTTAATTAAGAGTAACGAGTTACGCGATTAAAACGCAGCGAACGCTTTCGTTTGCATTCATCGACAGTGATAATTAAAAAACAATGCGGACATCCAAATCTATTGTTCTTGCACTATGAGACGGTACATTGCAGTTAGTAATGGGATTGGGAACGCTACGAATCTATAAAATGGCGGAAAAATCAAATCACATTGAATCTGATTCAAAGTTTTAGAAACTTTGAAAATCGGGATTGTTTTAAAAGTTTCAAGATTTTGTCATTTCGTTTGGCACACTGTCACAAAGGAATTGTGTTATAGAAGTTCGTTCTTTTATAAATCTTGCAATAACTGTTTAGACAGACTGCATTTATGCTTAACATATTTTACAATGAAACATCGCAATACGTCTTTATAATTACAAATATTTTTACAAGGACAAATAAAAGTATAACAGTGACAGTAATATTAACTATATCAGAAATAAAAGGTTTTATTTAAATCAAATCCTTTTTCTTTTTTCGACTCAAACTTACAATAATTTGTTAAACAATTAATATTAAGATTCATTATCAAGTTTGCTAAAACAAGAATTCTTGTTTTGTTCTGTAGTACATCTTATGTAGTTATTTTTACTGATTATAGTTGGTAGCGTTCGAACGGAGATTTGGGGGGGAAATACCGTGGCAAAGCGTCCGGTAATGTGTAATGGCGTTGTGAGGGAACACGTGGAGAGATATGTATGTTTATTCTAATATTTTGATCTAAAATTAGAAATAAATGTGTTTAAGTATAATAATGAGTTGTTTAGAACTACTGGCTTGAACCCAACACAATTCCAACATCTTAAACATTACACCTTTCCGTTAACAATAATGATTTTTATAGGTAAATATCGTAAGCCATACGTTATGAGTAAAATTGTTTCTTTAGACAACATGGCGCGAACAAAAAGTCACTAAAAGTTGGTCCAGCGCGGAACGTGTTAAACAAGCAGAAGGATTTCATTCTGGGCTAATTGTTTAGTCTTCTTCAGCACATCTACAAAATTAATTAATGATGATGAATTCCAACACTACTTAAGCACAACTTATAACGAATGAAGACTCACGGGAAGGTGATGGTTGAGAAACGCTGAGAAAGAACGATATTATGCGTTTGACTCAAAGATAAAGCATACGTAAACAAAACCACGTGACGGTAACAGGGCCGTGTTAACAGGGATTTGTTCTCTGAGTAGATATGTATTGTACTTTAAAGACAGTTTAAACACAAATTCAATTAGATTATTATCAATTATTGTCATAATACTCTCGTGAGTTATTTATTCAAATTATTATTTACTTGAGTTATTGAGAATTTCCAAATTATAAAACTAGCACAAAGTTTCAAATTTCGAGAACTTGAAATTTTTGAGTGGTGAGTTATTGAAGATTCCATCTCTAGTTTTTAGTTATTAACCTACAATATTGCAAAAGTTTGAAACCAAATAATTGAAATTTGAAACATTTTAATAAATAAAAACCCAGACCTAACCCAAATCAAATAATTGAAATTTGAAACATTTTAATAAATAAAGAAAGGAAGTTTAGGAAGACTCCCTATTTACTACGTTATTTCTGTTTAATATTTAACTTCATTGATATCGACAGAATATAATAAGGCAGTCACATATTTTCATTACATGAGTTTCACAAATACATAACGGGAGAATCTATCATTGTTTTATTAAATAAACACTCATAAATAATAGTCACGTATCAACAATCTTGTTTTCAAAAATAGACACGTAGACTAAAAGAACAAATTAGAAAGGAAATAAAAAAATGTTTTAGTTATAGATAAGATATATTTAAGTAGAAATGTAAATAAAAATTTAATCAAATCTATCTTATTTTGTATTTTTTCTATTGGGTGCATCTTTTGCTGTGTCAATATTTTGTCATTTATATTCAAAAGCACACAATTTAATTTAGTAATTAAACAAAATATGGTGATCGGGGCATATTTTTTATTTTTTCGTATGATACAAATGAGTTAATAATGTTACTGTAAAGTATAAGTATCTAAATGATAGTTTAGAATATGCACTCGGTATTTATATACGTAGATGTAGAAGGATTTCACACAGGACTCGGACACATTTTTCGGTTATCAATTTATCACAACGTACTTTTTAACACTAGAATTATAGTGTGTTTATTTGTATCAAGGAAATTGAAACGATAGGTGCGTGAAGAAATG